CGGGATTCCCGGTGTTCCACAAAACTCTCGAAGAAGCGAGAGCGGTTTCGAAAACGGTCCAAAATTCAAATTGGCTATGTCCCCACTACTTTCCTACGCACCGCGACTCTCTGATCTCTCTCTCGCTCTCCCTCTCTTTCTCTCTCTCTCTCGCGCTCTCTGACTCTCGCGCTCTCTGTCTCTCGCGCTCTCTCGCGTTCTCTCTCTCGCTCTCGCGTTCTCTCTCCGCTCTCTCGTTCTCTCTCTTGCGTTCTCTCTCTGGCTCTCGCATTCTCTCTCTCGCGCGCTCTCTCACTCTCGCTCTGTCTCTCGCGCGCGCTCTCTCTCGTGCTCTCTCTGTCGCTCTCCTTCTCTCTCTCTCGCTCCGTCTCTTTGTAGTCAGTCAGCGAGAAAAACGGCGCAACTGTTCCGTAACGTCGTGCAACGATCTCGGGAAGCAGGCGAAACCCGGCGGAATCGGTAACAAAATCCGCAAACGTTTATTAGCCTTCCGCAAAGCTGACGGACAACCTAGGAACCTTGTGGCAGCCTCGCGAAAGGTCACGATTATCGAGGGCACCTGCGCAAAACAGTTCCGAAGCGATATAACGAGAACAGCCGCGGACCACGGTCAAGGCGGCCGAGTCGATCTCCTTCGGGAACGTCGAAAAATCGCGGCGACAATGGGACAGCGGCTGCGAGGACAGCGGAAAAGAGAGACGAAGAGAGAGAGAGAGAGAGAGAGAGAGAGAGAGAAGCTGCCGCGGCACAGTCTGCCTGCCTCTCGACGAATTATTCCCATCACGAACGGTCGCGCTTAACGAGACCGACGCTGATGGAAATCAACTATTCCCCGGAGTGCCCCGCCCGACATCTCGCTCCGACCTCGTGGGTGGGTCGACAAACCGTTGGTCGACGGGCCACGGTGTTCGGCGACGGGTCGTTTCGAGCTGCGCGTCGAAGGTATCTTCGAATCACTCGTTATTCCCACGAGCGAGGCTGCTGAATAGTGGGCCAGAGGCGATCGTGGAAACGCGACGTAAACCCTTTGCCCTGCAACGTCTTGAGACGTCTGCGAGACGTGGTAAAAAAAAACGGGCCAGTAACGATTATCACGGCCGAGAGACGTGGTCGGGAAATTGGGCCAGATACGATTATCACGTCCGAGAGACGTGGTGACAAAATTGGGCCAGAAACGATTATCACGTATGACGGACGGGGTCAAAAAATCGGGCCAGAAATGAGGGCCGTGTTGCGTCAGTCGGGCCAAATATAAACGTAACCAGTTAGCCTCGTGTTAGACTAGGGGATACGTGTTTTGTGATTTCTTTTTATGTTCGTCATTTAATTGTTTTATTAGTTGATAAATGAGGTGCTCGCGAGTTGCTTGACACGGGCTGCGATTTTTGCGATCTTTAAGCACGAGCTTACAGCTCGTACGAAGGTCAATCGATTTCGGTGAAATTTTTAACATGCGTGTGATGTATAATAATATTATATATTATAATATATATATTATTAATATAATAATATTATAATATATATATTATTATATATTATCATATAATAATAATATTAAATAATATAATAATGCATATATAATATTCTATTTTCTTTTGTCATTCTAGGCAACAGCAACCTTTGAGAAAAGCATTCTAGTTATGGTCTAGCAGACTGTTCGCTCTATCATCTAGAAAAAGAATTCAAGCCGTTCAACTCAGTTCTAAAAAAATTATTGCGAAAAAGGTGTCCGAATATTAATTGGAGACACTGTATTTACATTCTGCAAGAAGTCCGCGCGAAAGGGCACGACACGTGACTGGTCTTGTTATTGTTTACGCCACACGTTATCGAAACTTAAATCGCAGGGCAAAGGGTTGAAGAAAGTATCTCCTTCGATCGTTGAAACGAACGATCGGAGATCGACTAGAATTCAATCGTTCGAAGACCGCGACGCGACCGTCAAAAGATGCTGTTTTGTACTCGCCACGAAAACGTCGCGGCGTGGAGACTTTCCGCCGGATCGAAAAGGAACGATTGGTCACGATCATTGTCACCGCCGGGATCCGTGTTTTAACGGTGAAGCAAACAAACGGAGTCGATTCATCACGCGGCTGCCGCGCGGTTTGACGTCACGCGTCGAACGTTTCCGATCCGTCGTTCGAAAGAAAGTCGAATTCGCGAAAGGGAATTTGTGCGACGCGCGAGGTTATGTCGGGTCCACCGCCGCGCTCGCGCGAAGGTGCGAGAGAACGGGAGCAAAGTCTACGGCTCGCCTCGGCTCGCGATATCGCGCACCGTTCCATTATTTGTCGCCCGCGATTGCACCGATGCCTCGTGAACGCTCGCGATCCCCGGCTATAAACGAGGAAAGTAAATTATGGTAATGGCACCGGCCTACGGTTGCCCAAGATAAACGACCACGGGGCGAGGTACTTTGCCGCGCGATAACCAAGGGATCACCGATTATATCCCCCGCGAGAGATCGCTGCGGATCGCCGTACGGATTTCCATCCACGATACGTCGAATACGGGGAGAGACGCTCCTCTTCCGCGGCTAATTGGGCGAACGTCGTTAAAGCGGACCGGAGCTGATTAGATTGCAAACATCGTACGCCTCGTGTTACTGTTGATTTTCGGAAATTCAAGCGATAAAACGCTTAAGGATGTTTACCGTGTAATGTGTGCATCGAAGCGATTAGCACCGTGAGTCTGCGAATTCCCATAGCAAAGCAGTTCGCGGATTAGCGAAACTACCGGACCGTATTTACAGGTTAACACTTTAGCCGCGTAGGCGTTTTAGAGGTTAGAACGCAACGTTTTATAGGATCGCTGAAATAAAAATCTCTCTCTCTCTCCCGAGAAGAGACCCGATAGATGTGATTCTGTGGCGAAATTACAGAGAGAATGAATACCTTCGGACGCGCGTTCTTATAGAAATCGGCGGCAACGAAGACGTTGCGCGATCGCGGAGCTGCGTCGCGCTGCCGCGGGAGGGAGGGGGGAGTTCTCGCGTAAATTTTCGCGCAAATCCGGTGATCCTTAGCACGCGCAGCGGATCGTCGCGCCACACTCTCGGCTTTGGGGCCGCGTTGACGAGCCGCCGTGCTCTCGTCGGCGAGCCTCGTCGTGCTCTCCGCGGATCTCTCGCTCCTCCTCCGCGGCGGACGAACGACCGATCTCGGTGATAAGACGTCGGTGGGCTCGACGCACGTGTCAATCATCAACTCGTCACGCGATACGCCGATGCCGATCCTCTCGCAAGGTCGGATTTCCCCCCGCGTACGCGCCGCTCGCGAAGCACCTGTTTCGCCGTTTTCGCCTCCTTTCTCCTCACGCGTCTCTTCCGTCCGCTTTCCCGTCGACTACGTCAAATCTGGCGTACCGTTATGAGCACGGCTCGACAATAATCGTAACCCGATGTTATCCACCGTTATCGTTGCTCGAGCCGGTCGGAGAGACTTTACATTGTTTGGCTACGTAGCGTCGGCTTCGAGAATTACGAAAGTATCCGCGCTTTAGCCACCGGCTAGAGGAAAATGTTCGTTTTTTTTTTCGTAGTAAATGCTACTCCCGGTGAGTTTTATTGCAGCGATCGATGACGGATTCGACACGCACCGGCGATGACAGAAATTTATTTATTTCACTTATTTATAAACCGGTTTGGACACTTTGAATGCGCCAGTGTAACGTGAAACATGGAAAAGATTCGGAGGGAACGTTGATGTATCAATTATTCGATGCCCCCAGCACTTTCCGACTAAACTTAAGAATTTTGGGCAGTTTTCAATTAATTTATATTTTCGTTGTTATACAATTTCGTTATTGTTTCATCAGTTGGATTTGTTTTTGTATGTATATTTGCTTATTCTAAAGGGCTCGAACTATTAAATAAATAAATTAATCAATCAACTAAATTATTTAATTAAACTCGATTAATTCAATATTCAATATTTTAATATATACTCGAATATGTTCGATTAATCAATTGACTAATGACTAAAAATTAATGAATAAATAAACCAATCGTTATCTCACATAAACATACGCAGTCTAGCGATCGAATTGTCGAGTGTTATCGGAATCGTGCAACAACGGGGCCACTCGTCCGTTAGGCACGTGCGAAACGTGCGTGTCACAAAAATAATTCGCAGAACGCATCGATGAACGCCGATCGCCGCTCTCGGTTCACTTTTAGCTTATCGAAGGCTCCTCGCGCCGAAGATAATTTGCGTGAACGATCTTGTTCATGTAATGATACGGAAAAAATTCTATATTCCCAGCGAAGATATATTTACGACGCCCCGCCCCCCATCGCTTTCCCTGGCCGAGGCTCCGGAAGGAATGCGCTTTAATTACTCGACTATCCAGCGTGGTAATCGTTTCGAGACAAAATTAACCCCGATTCTCTTCGAGGTCGAACGATTACGGCGCCGATGACGCGACATACTGTCAAAAATAAAGTATTAACTGATATTAACAAATTGATAGATTTCGATCGATCGTTCGAAGCGACACCGACGTAATACTCGCGGACCACCGATTTATCCTCGAACAATGAATCCTAATCGCATCTTCTGGATGCCTTCTTGTCGAAACGCGTCGGATACCGTGAGCTTATTTGCAGCACAACGTTCCACGGTGTACGTACAGGTTGTCCCAAAAATGTCTCGCAATCCGGAAACGGCGGGTTCCTCGGATCATTTGAAGCAACTTCTTCCTTTACAAAAATGTTCTCCGAGGCACCGTTAACGAGTTACCAACGAAAAACAGCGACCAATAAGAATCGAGTACGGCTGACGCGGGGCGGCCCAGCCAACCAGCGCATGGACCCTAGTTCCGCTCATTGGTTCGGTCGCCTCGCGCCAGCCGAGCTCGCCTCTCATTGGTCACTGTTTTTCGTTAATAACTCGTTAACGGTGCCTCGGAGAACATTTTTGTAAAGGAAGAAGTTGCTTCAAATGATCCGAGGAACCCGCCGTTTCCGGATTGCGAGACATTTTTGGGACACTCTGTACGTAGTTCGAGCGGAGATTAGATTTCGTCAGAAGGGGTGAACTTTTATCGGTTCCGGCACGAGAGCGACTTCGTCGAAACTTCGCGTCGTCGTGAGTGGGATCGTTTCGTCATCGATCGGACGCCAGGCTAGCACAACCATATCATTTGGAATACCGGTGATTCGAGGAACCGATCCGGCGGACAGTTATTTTCGAAAGCGACAGTTCCACGCCGGTTGTCAGACGTCCGATCGTAAATCATGCAGGACCGTCGTCGTCCGTTTCCGCGTGGGCGTGTCGCGGACGTAGCTCGTCCGTAAGGATCGCTCGCTCGGCGATTTCGTGATCGAAGAGCGCACGATGCAGCTGGTTCGGTGGTTCCTCGTCTGCGCGACGATTTCCCGGAACGGTTGCACGATGGCACTCGACGACGCGTTCGCGCGTTTCGTCGTCGACTCGATCGATCGTCTGTTCCCACCGATAAGAGTATCGGCGCATCTCTGCCGGCTCGAACGAGGTAAGACAACTGGCCGGTCGAAATCGTGGGATTGCGCAACACCACAAGCTCTCCGTGCAAACACGCGAGTCTTGCGTAGGCGTTCGAGCTTAATAACCGCGGATCAGTCTCTCTCTCTCTCTCTCTCTCTCTTGCTCGCTCGATCGCTCTCGGAAGAGAGCCGAGGCAAGCGGACGCAATCGCGAGAACGAGCTACCCTCGCCGGAAACCGATTCGACGGGACCGTGAACACGACATTAGAGCTGTTTCTATTAATCGAACACGGAAAAATTGCACGTCAGAGATACACAAGAGAATCGTAGACGGCGTGGATGGCGGCCATAAATTCTCTCTCTCTCACTGCCTCGCCGAAGATAAAAGAATGCATTGTCGCCCGATACGGAAAAACTATTGCTGTCGAGCGGCGTGATCGAGTGCTCGAACACTTTGAACAGTGAACAAAGCAGATGCCACCCGACGGAAAGATAAATGTTCTTGTCTCCGGCGCGGAGATAAAAAAAAGAAAAAGACTCTGTGGATGTCCGGCGAGAGATTGTCAACCCTTCGCGACACCTTCGGAAATCGCTGTTTCGCCTTCGACGATACTGCGGTTTCCCGCGCGAAGATAAGTGTCGCATCGGGAATATATCGACGCACTTAAACGTACAAAGAAAACCGATTCGCTCGCCGGATATCTGCTAAAAGAATGTCCAATGATTCCGCTAATCAGACAGAAACTCGTGTTGCCTTAATACAAAGATACAATTAGATTACGTCGCCGGAGATGACTCGTTCGTTTGCGGCTGAGATCGCGAGCCTCGCTGAAAAATTCGCCGGCAAATCCAGCGTAGTGGATCGCTAGATAACAAATAATCTTCTTTCCAGCATTTTTTACAAAGTATCAAGAGCGAGAGAGAGAGAGAGAGAGAGAGAATTTTCCTTGCTTTATTCTCTCAACTATAAGTCCGAGAATTTTGCTCAATATACGATCCTTTTGTTTCGTTCGCCACGAAAACGTTGCTCGACGCTCTTTGTATCCCGGTATCAGAGGATGCGCTCAGACTGTCCCGCGAGATGTCCGGGACAGGTTTGATCCACGAGATCCATCTACGCTCGGATGATCGATTGCGCGATCCGGAGGATCATCAGCTGTTGCGCGTGCTGGATCTGGACTGTGATTATGCGATCCCGATGCTGTTATCGGTGCGTTTCGGTCACGGTTCCTTTTCTCTTTGAAATTTCATCGACGATTCAATAAATAAAATAACTTCCAGGCGAACGAGACCGAGATGTTCACGGCTCCGAACAGATGGCTTCTGCTTCGTGATCGACGATCATCGTCGGACCGGTCGGATCTCGAGTCGATCGCGGAGATCTTTCGGGACATGAGAATTCTGCCGGACAGCGAGGTGTTCGCGGCGGTATCACGGCAGAATTTCACCGAGATCCGATCGATCTACAGACGAAGTCTTTCCGGCGAGGTGGTGCTGGAGGATCGAGGGAACTGGACGACCGATCGAGGACTGAGCGCGGGACAAACGATCCCGACGTCGCGACGCCGACGGAATCTTCGCGGGACTCTGCTGAAATCCTGCATCGTGGTATATGGGAATAATTTCGCGACGTAAACGCGGCGAAATCCATTCGACTCCGATTGTTCTCTCCGTTCGGTCGATCGATCAACAATGATGGATCGTAGAAGCGCGACTCCCGTGCTCCTCGATAAGATAGGAAAAATCTCCGTGATCAGATAAAGCGGGTTTTTTTTTCTTCTAACGTTTCTACCGTTTTTCCAACGGTAGCCGAACACGAACACGAACACGAAACGAATCGAATCGAATGGTATCTGGTTAGCGCCGTCGGAATCGACGCTGGATTTACGAGTGTGAGTCGCGCACCGATAAATCAGCCGGGTGCATTTGCGTTCGTAGTTGACCGATCCCGATACGATCAACCACTTAACCGATTACGGAAATAAGCATATAGATGCAGTGACGAAGGCCAATTATGCCTGGGTGCTGATCATGGTGGCGAGAATGAACGCGACGTGAGTATGCATTATATGTATATATATATCCTTCTCTTGCTTTCCCGTGACCTCCGGCGACAACGACACCTTTGTCTTTGCCGGTGGAATGCGAAAATTAGAGAGCGAGAGAAACATCTGGCGCAAGGTCATCTAGGCGATCTAATCAAAGTTAAAAATCCAGCCGGTCTAGTGTCTCCTCGAAGGAGACGCGATTCTCCCTCGTTAGCGTCGCGTGGAACTGTCGTGGAAGAACGTGATCGCGGTAGGGAAACACGGTTGCTATGGTTGGGGCCGTGTACTGTGCGGAGGCGATAAAATTTCTCGAGAAAAATAGGATGTGTGCATTGGCTCACGAAAGTATTCGAACATCCTTCAACCCTTTGCATTCGAGTGGCGACACTGTGGTATCATTAAGAAAAAATGTAACCGTTGTATGAGTCACAAAATACTGAATTTCGTGTGCATGAAATACAATAATTCTTATAAAATGCGAATACTGTACGTCAGGAAAACTATTTTGGTCGGTCTGAGCATTTTTGAGATAATAGCTGATAAAAAATAATAACTGATAATAATAATAATAATAATAATAATAATAAATAATAGCTGATAATAAAAAGCTCATGTTTATTAAAACTCATATAAGCTTTTAAATATTAAAACGTCAACTTATTCAACAGTTTTGTATACTAGCAAATTTTATCCTCTAATAATATATAAATTTTTTGAGAACGATATTACGTTTTAAGAGGTGTTCGAATACCGTCGTAAACCACGTAGTATGTATGTATATATGTATGTAGCTCGCAACGCTTACCTTCCAGTATAAATATCTGCACTACGAACTCGTGGGGGTATGGGAACGAAAACGGCTCGTGGAGTGGGATAACGGGGATGCTGCAGCGTCGCGAGATCGACATAGGTGGCACAGGCATGTTCATCGTGAAGGAGCGACTGGATGTAGTGGAGTACGTCCAGCTGTACACGCAAATGCGGTAAGAGAATGCGCGTACTAAACGTGTTTACATAGGAAGATCCCCAGCTAGGTAATTCGAGCCCTCGACTATTTAACAGACCGAATCGGAGAGAGCGATGGAAAGCTGTGCGATATACGTACCTTTGCTCTAGCTATCCCCAAGGTTCCATGGTTTTCCGAATTTCCGAGCCAGGTATTGTTCTATTTTTATAACTAGATGTATCGTAGATGGGCCTTCATATTCCGCAAACCTCTGCTGTCTTCGGTGAGCAACATTTTCACGTTGCCGTTCCACCGGTCCGTCTGGCACGCGATAGGCGTGTTCCTGCTGGTGGTCCTGGTCATGCTGGTTTTGTCAACCAAGTGGGAGTACTATAGGGGCACGTCCGAGTACTGGGAGTCGTTGAACCCGTCGGAGCAGACGTTCAGCGACAACCTGATGGTCTTGATGGGCGCCGTGGCCCAACAAGGTAGTCTAGTCTCTTTCATAATTGTCGCGGTTCTCCGGTAGTTAAAGGTCTATGGATCCACAAGAAGTACATTCCTACTATTGACTGTCGCGCGACAATTATCGAGGCATTCCTGTTGCCCTGCTCGCCAATCCAACAGGCTATTACTACGAGCCGTACAGGGTTCCGCCCCGCATCGTCACGCTCATGCTACTGATCGCCGCCATGAGCCTGTACGCCTCCTACACGGCTAACATCGTGACCCTGCTTCAGTCGTCCACCGACATGATCAAGACCTCGAACGACTTGCTGACCTGTCCGCTGAAGTTGGGAGCGCAAGATATCGTCTACGCTCGTCACTACTTCTCGGTGGGTTAGAGCAGCTGCCCGATAGAGTCTCTGGTTTAGGACAGCTCTAAGGGTGCTTCGACTGTGTAGAAATTTCGGGACCCGATCAAAAGGGCGATCGTGGAGCAAAAGATCGAGCCGAAAGGCGGCAAACACACCTGGATGAATCTGTCCGAAGGTATACATCGTATGAGGACCGAGCTGTTTGCGATGCACGCCGATCTGGGCGCTGCCTACCACCTTATACAGAACACGTTCCTGGAGGATGAGAAGTGCGGCATCAAGGAGATCGACTTTCTGAATCACAAGGACCCGCTGCTGGTGATTCAGAAAGGATCGCCGTACAGGGAGCTGATTAGGAACGCGTAAGATTCGTAGATGGCGCAGTAGGGAGGTGTCCGGTTGCGTAGAGTCGGCCGGTGAATCGCTTCGGACGGTTTTCAGAGCTCTCCGGCTGCACGAGACCGGGTTAAAACATAGGGAGGAGCATCTGCTGTTCTCGAGCAGGCCCAAGTGTCAGGGACAGATTAATTTCATCAGCATCGGGATCACCGAGTGCTACTTCGCGTTGGTCTCGATGGGCTATGGGGCACTTTTGAGTCTGTTCGTATTCATACTGGAATTGCTGTGGCACAACTGGTACAACCAACGCAAAGGACCACCTGCTCTTTTCTCCAAATCTCTGCACTTCTAATCCTTTCTGACGTTCCGTAGGAGACACCGGCCGACCAAGGAGATCGGTTGGCCTCTAGGAGAACCGGTGTTCGATAGCGCTGTCGAACAACATCCGGATACAGAAAAAGGACTCGAGCTCGTGTGGTGAACAAGTAGAAATTGTAATAAATAGAAAACCTTTCTATGCACAAGGTATGTACAACAGCAGGGGTTAAACTCGGGCCGGTAAAAAGTGTTGATAGTAATTTTTCGTGAACTCCAGCATCAGGTCGACGGTGCAATGAGGAAGGTCGTCGACGCATCTCGCGGGATTGCCGGCGACCCGGGAAAACGGAGGTACAATGGTCTCTGGCGGTACCACAGCGCCGTCCTCGATATAACAGCAGTCCTTGAGGATACTTCTCCTTCCCTGCATAATGAAATCGTGTTACTTCGTGCTGTGGGCAGCTGCAAATAAAACTATCGCCGGTGTACGTACAATCACCGCGTCTTTTCCAATGTATATGTAAGAACCGACCATCGCGGCATTTACTACTGCACGTTCTCCGACAAACACATGATCCCCCATCGTCAGTGGGAAAAAGGCAACCCTAAAAAATAAAAAAAAATGTTTCACTGTACATAAATGTCGTGGAAGTAATTTAACATCGAGGATATGCGAAATATACAATAGGCCTTCCACAAACAATAAGTACGGACCCTCTGCTAAACTTTTTGAAGGGCGGCCTAATAATGGCATTCTTGCTGATGATGCAGTAACGTCCAGTCCGCACGTTCGCCAGATCGCCACGAATAATGGCGTCTGATTGTACGATCACCTTTCCATGTAAAACAATATTTTGGGAGCCGCATAGAACAGTCTGTCTGCTAACCTTATTCCCCGACGCCTGAAACTCAGAAAAACGAGAGGTTATGGATTCCATGTTTTCGTTTAACAGTCGTTTTCGCAATATAATTCTTTTCTATTCACCGTCTCGACGTATTCTGCTTTGCTGTAATAAACGTCCTGCGGTTCCATAATGTTTATTCCAATCGTAATCGTACTATCACAACGGATGCTTCGAATTCAGTGCTCCTTCTGTCACTGCGACACATCTGTCATGGCGTTGCATCGGGAACTGCGCATGCGATTACGGCAACGCGTTGCGCACTGTACACACAACACGCACTCGTGGCGGTAAACTTGAATTATATAAATTATATAAATATTATATATTATATTATATATTATATATTATATAATATTATAAATATTATATATATTACATAATATTATATAAATTATATAAATTGGTTGGGAAAAAGGTGTTTCTCATCCCAGATCTATTATGTGGACTCATCGGTAAGATTGTGCAGCAAACTTTGGTTTAAGCGCTGTGACATTTCATATCTTTTATTCGCGTGGCGTATCGTACACTTGCGAAAAACAAGAAACCGCCACAAGTTTCACAAAAACCGCCTCAATTCCGCCATCTTGCGTTGACGGTATGAACCGCGATATCAGATTTGAATCCGCCAAGTTTTCGCTCGCTTCCGTATTATATGTCGTCGTGCATTTTAAGCGAAGTTAACTTTAACATCTATATGGGTTATAGATTGATTAAATACGAAATTGTATTTATTATGGAAGCCTACAGTTTGCATTTTGAAACAAGAAATCTGTAATACATTTAGCATCACAATAGGTGTCCACCTGTGTAACCTTTCACCAACACAGCGGTGAAGTAGACAGTCATTACGCGAATTACAGGTTTCTTGTTCTGAAGAACGGGCCATGGTATTCAAATTACCGTTCGTCCTCGATGCCATCGAACGCGCAGCTGTATCAAATTAATAGCACCCACTTGTTCCGTATGTTTTGACGTCTCGGCGCCATGGAAACGAGACGTGGGAGGGTTGGTTAGAGTCTAACAAGGTATGCAAGCGGATCCTCGTCGACGTCGTCGTAGATCGTCGTCGACGCAGGTGTCCCGAATCCATGGACTCGACTGTCCAAAATCTTAGCTGGGAACAGATCAGATGTCGTTGTTCAAGACGAAAGAATGGTGGCGGACCACGTGCGGAGCGAACGAGACTTTCGATGGACGATGTCTGCTGGTGACACAGTTGTTCGGCGAAGAAAAGAAGGACGTACTTGTGGTGGGTAGCCACGACGGTTACCTGAGGATCTACAGCCCTTCTTCACAGTGGATCGAAGAAACAAAGGTTCCGACCAACTACAAATCCACTGACTTGATGATCGAGATGAGGATCGGCGACTGCATCGTGGACATTCGAACCGGGAAGTTCGTCTCGTGAGTACCGAGACGCCGCGGGAAATTCAAAACCGTGGAACAAAAATGTGATTGATTGCAGGGGCTCGCAGGATCTTCGGCTGGCGATATTGACTTCCACGAAGTTGGTGGTCTACAACACGACTTTGGCGGACGGTTCCGCGGAATACGGTTTGTTTTTTAAGAAACTTGATAAATGAACATCTAAGTGGATTTGTGCATCGCTAAATGTACAATATCTAGGAGCTTTCCGGGTTCGTGAACTGTTGATTTTTGTTTCCTTTATTGCTGTTCTTTCGCGGCTTGGGGAAACACGGTTGCCTAGTCAAAAGGAACGGAATAGTTGAGACGGGTTGCCTAGTCAAAGGGTACACGGAGCGGACGGACTGAATGCCTTGTCAAAGGTGTACGCAATGAATAGGCGGGTTGCCTAGTTAAAGGGGAAACGTTGATCATAAGCGCGTTACTCGCTCGAAGCGGCTTTCTCAATCCGTCTCTAACGACGCGTTAACGTCACGAGTTCGGAGATCGGGGTACGGTTGTGTTTACCGAGGATGATTCTCGGTCGCGCCGGCGCGAACCTTTCTCTTTTCTGGCTGAAAGACGACCGACTCTGGTCGACTCGCCGACACAGATTCATCCCGTAAACGCTCAGTCTCATTCGGCAGGGGATCGCTGCGACTTGAAAGTTGCATACGAGCATCCGTTGCCGCGGCACCCGGTGTCCCTGACCACGGGACCCTTCGGCGGCGTCCGCGGCAGGGACTTCCTCTGCGCGCAGTGCCTCGACGGCACGCTCCTCTTCTACGAACAGGAGATATTTGCGTTCAAACAGGTCCTCAAGAACCGACTGCTACCCGAGCCCATCGTCTACGTAGCGCGGAACGACTTGTTCGTCACCACGAGCACATCCTGGTACCTCGAGTGTTACAGGCACGTTCTCTTCTCTCTTATGCACCTTCTCCTGAAAAACCACCGAGCATTAAATGTTGCGTTTAAAGGTTGTCTTACGAGTGTGGGAAGTTTCTACAGGTACCAAAGCATGGCGGAATGGGTGCGAAGGGACACAAGACGTGGCAGTGAGGACTCCGTCGTCGACAACGACAACAACGACGACCACGACCGGCTACAACGGGGACAAGGTCGCGTCGGAGCGGACCGATTGGAGCCCGACTGGACTTACAACATCGGGGAAGCGATCTTGGACATCCAGGCAGTTACGCTGACCAGCTTCGAGACGGGGATCGTGGTCCTCGGCGAGCGACACCTCTACTGCTTGAAGGACAATTGCGCCTCGGTCAAGTACGCCAAGAGACTCGAGTTCAAGCCGCTTTGCTGTCGAGCTTACGTTATCGGTAACAATTCTAAGACGCACTGTCGAAACTTCGTTTTTGAAACTTCAATCGTTGTCCTGAGCCTTCTTAATCGATTACAGAGCCGGACGGAAATCTGATGGTGATCGTGGTGGCTGACACGAGCACGCTGATGATCTACGAGGGCACCAAGCTCAAGTGGTCGGCGCAGCTGCCCTTTGCTCCGGTGACTATCGCCAGGGCCCACCTCCAGGTAAAACGCGCTGGTTTCACCGCTAAGAGAGGGCTGCGAAGCGAAAGGCCGTGCTCAAGCTTGGGCGAACAACGCCGGCAATTATCGTTTCGACGTTATCTGACGGTTATCGCTGCGCGCAGCGCCGAGCAAGGTTGCCCCGTCGTCGTTTTTCCGGAAGATACTAACTGCCGGTTATTAATTGGCTCGATACGACGGCTCGTCTGCGGCACGAGCCAGCACCGTGCTCCGGCTGCGGCTGATGATCTCTTTGATGCTCTGTTTTCAGCACCTACAAGGTGCGATCGTCGCGTTGTCGGACGACGGCCGATTGGAGGCCTGCTATCTGGGCGCGGAACCCGGCCTGTTCGTCGCGCCACCCCTGCACTCGCGAGGGTACGACTACACGGCGGCGGAAAGTCAGCTCGCGGAGCTCAGAGCGCTTCTGCAAAAGTCGAAGTCCTCCGGTGAGTCGTGCAACGATCTCCATGCAGAGTGTTACGATAACGATTGCACGCGTTTGAGCAGAGGATCGAGCCAAGAATGCGATGACAGATGCGGAGCTAATCGTCGCAGTGAACGTCTCGCCGGATCTGGAGGTTCTGGGCCGACCCATCGGCAGCGACGACGACAGCCACGACAAAGAGGATCGACCGATCGCCAGCAAGGTGGTCATAGAGCTGTCCTCGTACGCGAGCCTTCTCGACGTTCAAATCTGCGTGGACGTTTGCAAACCGCTGGTGGCGACGCAGGATTTCCAAGTCGTCCCGAACCTGCGTAAGCAACAGAGTTACCATCCTTAGAATTAACTCCCGCTTGGGCGAGGCAGTGTAAAATTTACTTGTAAGACAGAAACGAAGAATGACCGTTAAGAGTAGGGACAAGAAAACCACGGCCACTTTGTCTAGACCACGCCTACTCGTAGTATTTCACTTCAGCTTTCCTAGAACACACAGAAATAGTTTTAGAAACGTTAAGTGGATAGTAATTGCTTTCGACCAGGTGGCCGGTACAGTCTGGAGACGACGGTCTACGTGAATGGGGATCTGCCGCCGGTATCTTGCGAGATCAACGTGATCGTCACTTATCGGACGGACTCTGAAGATGGACGGCTCCGAACGGTCAGAAAGACCGGTCAGTTGCCGCTGAAGATGATGCTGAAGTGCTGCCCACCCGAGAGCGCGTCCACCTTCACGACTGTGATTAAACGCAACGACCCGCTCGTCGGTCTGAACCATCTGTTCCCCGGTAAGCGCTGAAACTCCCCGCCCGATCCCGATTCCTCGAAGAGTCCGGGCCGAACCGACTGCCGGATCTCCTACGGTGTTCGAGAAATTACGATCGGAAACGAGAGGTTCCGGGCCGCTGCGGAGTCGGCACGATACGCCATACGTTGCAGCAGCCTAATACGATAATGGCCGGCCCGGTACGACTGTTCGGCGTTCCCTTTTTTTTTTGCGGTCGACCCACGTTCGCAAGAGGCAGTTTACGCCGTAATCCCTATACTTCAGGAACAGAATATCTAAACTAGCCTCGGCGAGAGACTGGTTCGCACGGTTGACGATCAAAACCGACCAAAAGGACTGTCGACTAAATTGCTTCGAATTTCAGGAATTTTTCGGGGGGCGGTCACTCGACGATCGAAGCGTTGATCGATTTAATAAAGATACCGGAATGAAAGATGACACGCTACAATCCTTTTTGCAGAGTTGACGACCAACAGAACGCAGGGGCAGAGGCAGAACTGGAACGCTTTGGGGCTGCGGCACTCGAACAACGGCAACGTGGTCACGATCGTTTCCGGCAACGCTAGCAATCGGTATCGTGTGCAGTCGAGCGACGGATTATCGACGACCTTGGTGGTCCAACAGCTGATCAACAGGCTGGAAGAGAAAACGCTGGGGGGTCTGTCGGCGACCATCGGCCAGAATCATCTTCGGTTGATCCAATCCCGAATAGAGGCTCACTTTCTGGCTCGCAGAAAAATCGAGGAGATAACGGTGGGATTGCGATCCCTTTCGCTTCCAACCTGCCGGAGACTCATGGTTATTCGTTTTTCATGGTAGAACGAAATCGGACTACTCACCGTCCAGCTGCGAAACATCGAGAAGAAGGTCCTCCGCAACGTGCGCGAAAGGAACACCTCGTCCCTCGCCGACACCGGGCTGCCGTTCCTCCTCGAAGCGACCTGCGGCTCCATTTTCACACGCCTCGAGGATCTCGTCGCTGCCAGAGCGGTAAGCTTGCGCATGGAAACCTGCAAGATTGCACGTGATTTAGAATACTTGGAGCAAAGTACTTTCAAACGTGCGTTTCGCATTGCAGGAGCGAGACCAAACCGGCCACGAGCTCTACTGTAGCTGCAGGTTGCTGCTGTTGCTATTGCGGCTGAACACGAGCCAAGAGAAGTTCGCGGCGATCGAGGCCGCGATCGGTTTCGACGCCTGTCCCTGTGACCGATTCGTAAGTAGACTCCTCTGTCCGGTGTGAGATCTCGAAGAAGTTCTCGAGACGCCAGCTTTTCCTCGAACGTTCTCGCCCACCTGTCGATTCGTTGCACGCCAGGACTGGGAAGAGATCGCCGACGCGACGCTGACCACCGTTCTCAGGTCTGTTTCCAAGAAGACCGCCGTCTCCGAGTCGAAACCATCGACATGGAACGCGATAACGCCCATCGTCTCCACCAAGGAGTTGGCCAGACTCAAGAAACGCTTGGCACACGCGATCGAGCGCGTGGACGACACGAACGGATCCGACATCGTGGAGGTCGAGCCCGGTGACCAAAACGACCCTTCTCTGGGCTAAGCAACGGGGTCACGCAGGACCCCAAGAACTCCTCTGTGCACCGACTTCCGCCGCTGTATCGCTAAATCCTCGGAAATAGAAGTTTCTTCAACTTCTTCCGAGCTTTCGAATTTCCCTTCCTTTCACCGCTTAATCGTCCCTGCTTCGAAGACGACGGCTTCAGGGACACGCGCGTTGCTCGAGGCTGCTGGAAGATGCTGCGCTGACCGAAACGCGCGAAAAATCGACGCGAGCGTGCCGCGATGCTGACCGATCACGGGGAACGGTAACTTTTATGTAACAGCTCGTGCGTCGCGAACGATCGGATAATTTTGTTCCGGAGAGTATTTAGCAGAGAAACCCGAGGAAACGTTGCGCGGCGCTACGCGACGCGTACGCGGCTCGGCTCGGATCGCCGCGGTGATTCATTCGGACGCGAGACACGAGGCGCCGCGATTCTGCTTTTCCGAGGTTAATTAATCGAAGGAACGCCAGCCAAGAGGTCTACGCTCGACAAGGAGCCGACTCCACAGTGCCAGCTTTGTCCGCGGATTTTCTTCTGGCCGAATAATGAGCGCGGAACCAACGAGCGTCTACTTGAAATTTCGTTGCTGGACCGGAGTCAGCAAACTGTGATCCGATCGCAGATTACTCCTTTACGTTCGTTTCACCGTTTGCTGCTCTTCTAAACTTTGCGTTCTACGCTTTCATAAATTTATAATACCTAGACGACAGTCTTTCGTACGGTAATTCTAGACACGGGATGCCGCAACTTGTGCAACGCATCTTGGTATTCTACTCTTTCGAACGGACAATTTTCTTTCGCACGAAGACGCTAGACGCAAGACGCAAGACCTTGGTAATAGCCGCGTATACTTTTCATAAATTCTACTTAAACGATTTTCTTTTGTACGACGGCTCTACACGCAAGGCACCGCAGCCAACGATGCCAGACGTTAGAATAACTTACAATCGAGTTTACAGTCATGCTCCGGCCGTCCCGTTCGCTTTCTGAATCCTCGGATGACGCGAAAAACGCGCGTGCCTCCGGCGCGGTCGCGAGCGGTTTTATCGCGCGGTGGCTTTTATCCGAGGCCGATTCGACGAACGCTCGTTCATCGTCGGAAGCGCAGCGCGTTAGAGGAAATACCGCATCCTCGATGAGACATCCACCGGTGACGCGAACGGTCCCTCGAATCCTCTTCTTCTTCTTCTTCTTTCTCTCTGGCCGTCTCACCTTCTTTCTTCTTCGCGGATCATCCTTCTGCCGTCGCGCCGGTTCGCTTAGAACGCGGTTCAGCCTGTAAAAGAAGCGCACGAATTACGCGGAACCACGGTCCACAGCTCCGCGATCGGTATTCCCGGAAGTAGCAGCACGATACGTCGCGAGAACGATTACCGTTGCGAATTCGCTGCGACGTAACCGCGTCCTCGCATTTTTCTCCGCGTCGTTCTCTGCGCAATATCAATGGACTCCGATGGATCCCCCTGTTGGCTGCTTTTCCGCGGGATGCTTGTTTATCGTGGTCCCTGTTTACACGTTATTCGTGCAATCGTTTGCAGCTTACTCTGGGAAGCTTCTTTGTCTATAACCATAGGACATTGGTTTTGATCGGAGCGAATCTTCTGGCCCAAGAGTCGTCAACGTTGCCGGGGAAACTTCTGTTCCCATTTCTTTGCCGCAATTATCCATAGCCGACCTCCGGCGCATCCCTATCGGCTGCGCTCCTGCGAAACGATTGTTCATGGAATCATTATTTACACAATTATTTGCTACTTTAGCGGATGGAAGAGATTCTTTGGTATACCATCGCAACGGTAAGACACCTGTTTCGAACGGCTCGGCCAAAAATACCTCGTCGTCGGAAAAGCCCCGTCCCATTTCCCCGGACTCGCTTCCGGAAGCAATTGACGGCGAACGCAGCACAACGGCCGCTAATTAGTTTCGAGCTGAAAGCGAGCCGATAAAGGCTGGCTCTTCGCCTTGTTCGGTCCGAGCGCACCTTCTCCGCTCTCTTTCTCGCGCGCGTTTCCTCTGTCCTCGCCGGTTTTCTCGCTTCGTCCGCGCCACGGCAGGATACGTCGCTTCCGGAAACCCGATCAAGATTACAAACGGCGTGCCGTACACGCCACAACCTTCTTCCTTTTACGATCCCGATTGCGTCGTTCGGAATCGCGTTCGAACGGCCTCGAAAACCCCGCCACGCCGCGGATTCAAAGCGCGAGCAAGAGCCATGCGTTCCTTCTGCCTGGCGACAGCTGCGTCGCACGCAGGGAAAAATCTGTCGTCTATAGGGTTGCGGCTTTGGAGACGTTCGTCGTTCATCCTCGTGCGGGAGATGCGAGCAACCGGCGAATTGAGATTTCCTTTTCTTTTGTTTCACAGAACGTGGATACCTGCAGGGTTCCTCCTCCGAGATCCTTCAGCTTCAAGATCGCGGTAATAGTACATCGGAAGACGGCAACAGAGGAAGGAGGGAGGTATCTTGTCGGCACGCATGATTTAAGAGCGGACCACCTTGCCGAATTCTCCATATCACCGTGAACCGGACCACCAATGGAGCTGCCCGGCGAGGACTAAGTCACCGTGAGAGCGGTAATCGGGGATAACGAGGGGCCGGAGGGCCCGCGCGGTTAGAAGAATCCTCTCAGGACTTCGTTCCGACCAATTACCTTGCTCCTCAACTCCTACCCTAAATACCTATTGCCTCTCTTCCTCGGAGGTCGATAACCGTGCGGCCCGGGACCAAGAAGGCCCGCTCGGTCGGTTCGGGCCCTTATCCTCGAACCCCTGGGAACCGGGATTCGCGGGCTCCACGCTTTCCTTCGCTCGTGCGTTCCGCCTCGGCCCCCGGCCTGCAAGAGAGATTACGCAGAAATTACGTTACGTCGTTGTGGCAAAAAAAAAGAGAAAAAGAAAGAAAAACAACGGTCGCTTCGACGGATCGTGTGAATCATCGCGAGAACGCGTCCGCGTCCGGTGGTTCGGTTTCGAGGAAAATCGTTGCCGGCTGCGCGACAAGGGGGTCCCGAAGATCAATGGAAAGATAGCGGAGGGAAAGCAGAGAGAGAGAGAGCGTCTTGCTAATGACTCGTTTCCGCTACCCCCGGAAAATTTATAGCCCGACCTTGGGGCTCGAGCCCGAAACACCGGTCGTTTTCGCATCGACGAGAGGTGCGTGTCGAGGCGTAGGATCGCGCCGGAAATAGATTCGCGACGATCTGTTTTCGCGCGTAATTCCCGACCGCGTAGATCGTACGCGACCGACCCGGACCCATGTCCGCGTCCGCGTCCGCGTCTGTTCAGCATTCGCGGTCGGTTTATTTTCCCAATTCAAACAAACTCGCGGCCAGCACCGTCCCGCGGCAGCGTGCCGAGCGCCTGGAACCTGTCCGTTGGTGCCGGGCATGGTTTTTCTCCGTCGCGTCTAATTGTGACCGAGAAGAAACCGCGTCCTGCGACCGTTCCTCCAACGGTCCGTCGTCCGTCGCTCGCGGAAGACCTAGCCGGACGCGCAAAAAGAAGACCGGCGGGTCCCGGAAAGACGCGGCCGACCACCGCGGCGACGGATTTAATAATTCCCGTGGTCCCGGCCAAGGGCGCGCATTCTTTCTCCGTGTTGGACCCGTCTGAGAGTAAAAGTTACGAATACTTTGGGCCCTCCCCGAGAGCAAGGGAACCACGCCGAGTTTCTTCATTAGCGCGAGCACTGTCTGTCCGACGGTGCTCTCGATGATCGAGCTCGTGGACCCCGATGGTGGGTCCCGTCGAGAAGAAAAAGAGAGAGAGAGAGAGAGAGAGAGAGAGTCGAAATGGCTGGAGGACGCGCGTGGAATTCCGGCGGCCTTGCGCTCGTTACGCGAAAGCAAAAGCGAACGTGTCCGTACGGTTGGCGAACTCTGGAGGATGTGCCCCCCGCGGCGATAGACCGCTGCGATCTCAGCAATCCCAGCGATCACAGGACGATCGATCGCGTCTCCTCGTCGTTTCGGCGCAACGGATCGAGCGATAATAAGCGAGCTCCGAGAGAGAGAGAGAGAGAGAGAGAGAGAGNCTCGCGCGCGTTTCCTCTGTCCTCGCCGGTTTTCTCGCTTCGTCCGCGCCACGGCAGGATACGTCGCTTCCGGAAACCCGATCAAGATTACAAACGGCGTGCCGTACACGCCACAACCTTCTTCCTTTTACGATCCCGATTGCGTCGTTCGGAATCGCGTTCGAACGGCCTCGAAAACCCCGCCACGCCGCGGATTCAAAGCGCGAGCAAGAGCCATGCGTTCCTTCTGCCTGGCGACAGCTGCGTCGCACGCAGGGAAAAATCTGTCGTCTATAGGGTTGCGGCTTTGGAGACGTTCGTCGTTCATCCTCGTGCGGGAGATGCGAGCAACCGGCGAATTGAGATTTCCTTTTCTTTTGTTTCACAGAACGTGGATACCTGCAGGGTTCCTCCTCCGAGATCCTTCAGCTTCAAGATCGCGGTAATAGTACATCGGAAGACGGCAACAGAGGAAGGAGGGAGGTATCTTGTCGGCACGCATGATTTAAGAGCGGACCACCTTGCCGAATTCTCCATATCACCGTGAACCGGACCACCAATGGAGCTGCCCGGCGAGGACTAAGTCACCGTGAGAGCGGTAATCGGGGATAACGAGGGGCCGGAGGGCCCGCGCGGTTAGAAGAATCCTCTCAGGACTTCGTTCCGACCAATTACCTTGCTCCTCAACTCCTACCCTAAATACCTATTGCCTCTCTTCCTCGGAGGTCGATAACCGTGCGGCCCGGGACCAAGAAGGCCCGCTCGGTCGGTTCGGGCCCTTATCCTCGAACCCCTGGGAACCGGGATTCGCGGGCTCCACGCTTTCCTTCGCTCGTGCGTTCCGCCTCGGCCCCCGGCCTGCAAGAGAGATTACGCAGAAATTACGTTACGTCGTTGTGGCAAAAAAAAAGAGAAAAAGAAAGAAAAACAACGGTCGCTTCGACGGATCGTGTGAATCATCGCGAGAACGCGTCCGCGTCCGGTGGTTCGGTTTCGAGGAAAATCGTTGCCGGCTGCGCGACAAGGGGGTCCCGAAGATCAATGGAAAGATAGCGGAGGGAAAGCAGAGAGAGAGAGAGCGTCTTGCTAATGACTCGTTTCCGCTACCCCCGGAAAATTTATAGCCCGACCTTGGGGCTCGAGCCCGAAACACCGGTCGTTTTCGCATCGACGAGAGGTGCGTGTCGAGGCGTAGGATCGCGCCGGAAATAGATTCGCGACGATCTGTTTTCGCGCGTAATTCCCGACCGCGTAGATCGTACGCGACCGACCCGGACCCATGTCCGCGTCCGCGTCCGCGTCTGTTCAGCATTCGCGGTCGGTTTATTTTCCCAATTCAAACAAACTCGCGGCCAGCACCGTCCCGCGGCAGCGTGCCGAGCGCCTGGAACCTGTCCGTTGGTGCCGGGCATGGTTTTTCTCCGTCGCGTCTAATTGTGACCGAGAAGAAACCGCGTCCTGCGACCGTTCCTCCAACGGTCCGTCGTCCGTCGCTCGCGGAAGACCTAGCCGGACGCGCAAAAAGAAGACCGGCGGGTCCCGGAAAGACGCGGCCGACCACCGCGGCGACGGATTTAATAATTCCCGTGGTCCCGGCCAAGGGCGCGCATTCTTTCTCCGTGTTGGACCCGTCTGAGAGTAAAAGTTACGAATACTTTGGGCCCTCCCCGAGAGCAAGGGAACCACGCCGAGTTTCTTCATTAGCGCGAGCACTGTCTGTCCGACGGTGCTCTCGATGATCGAGCTCGTGGACCCCGATGGTGGGTCCCGTCGAGAAGAAAAAGAGAGAGAGAGAGAGAGAGAGAGAGAGTCGAAATGGCTGGAGGACGCGCGTGGAATTCCGGCGGCCTTGCGCTCGTTACGCGAAAGCAAAAGCGAACGTGTCCGTACGGTTGGCGAACTCTGGAGGATGTGCCCCCCGCGGCGATAGACCGCTGCGATCTCAGCAATCCCAGCGATCACAGGACGATCGATCGCGTCTCCTCGTCGTTTCGGCGCAACGGATCGAGCGATAATAAGCGAGCTCCGAGAGAGAGAGAGAGAGAGAGAGAGAGAGAGAGAGAGAGAGAGAGAGAGAGCAGCCGAGGCTCGGAAGGATCGCGCGACTCGTGCCTCCTACCGGTGCATCAGCTTCTTCTTGCCTTGTTCCTGCTTCACGACCGGTCGCGCGCGCGCGCTTCCACGAACCGAAGGACCTAACGAGCGGCAGGTACAGGTACGCGTTGCAACAGGGGGCCCCGCTTCTACTCGACGAAAGCCAGGCGGAAAACAGTGGCGGACGATGAAGAAAGGGCAGAGAGTAGCCCGTCGATAAGCATCTCGGTTATAATAGCTAACCGAGCGTTTGTTTCTCCTATTCTCTTCCTCCGGGATACTCTCTGGCCCCTGCGTACACAATAGTAGTTCGCAAGTTCCGGTATTCCGTGTCGCGTCGACGTCGAAGAGCTAGACCTAGACCCCGTTGAAATTCAGAGCCGCAAATCGAGAGATACGCATACTTAAACGAGGTCATCCTAGACGTTTCACAGCGGACGAAATGGAGCGGACACCTTTGAAATTGGGGACAACGAAGTTACGTCTAATTAGCGTGCTCCGAGGCTTTTAGTCTAAGCAAGCAAACGGGGAAGATATTTGGCTTCATAGATATCTGGATCAAGGATCGATCCCGATCGACGAAAATACGCCCCGGGAGCAGAGAGAGCCTCTCTTTGCTGTCTCCGTTGGAGACTGGAGCGCGCCGGGACAATGGTCCCGCGGCTAGGCGGCTCGAGATCGGTGTCGAAACGATAATTGAATTAGTCCGGGCGGTGCGGCGGCGAGACGTGGAGCGGACGGTAGCGCGACCGAGTTCGACGCTTCTCGCTCTCGGTCGTTCGAAATCACTCTGCTAGAGTTTCTCTTGAGCGCCGTTCTCTTCTCCGGTTCCGAGCGTACTACTCTCCCAGCCTCGCTGGTTCTCCTCCTCTTCCTCCTCCTGCTCCGGCCGGCGTCTCCTCTCGCGTCCACTCTGTCCTCTCTCGGACTCCTCTAGTTTCTCCGTGTGTATCTCGGTGCCTCCACCACCATCGAGCCCATCGACCACCGCCGCCACCGCAATCGCCGCCGCCACCACCGCCGGACTCGACCGCTCCGACCGCTTCGACCGTTACGACCGCTTGGACACGACCATCTCCGCCGTAGCCACCACTCTCGGACGCTGCGCCTCGGCTCGCCTTTCCCCGCGGTGCCCTCGGCGGCTCCACCGACGGGACGGGAACCTCGTTACTCCGGCGGGGCACGGTGGTGGAAGTCCGCAACGGAACTTTGGTGCAGCTGCGACGAGCAGCTGACGCGGAATCCTCGGTTAGTCGGTGTTCGGACTCGAGTCGCGAACTAACGCGGCCCGATTTCGTGCTCGTCGCGAGATACCGCGCGCGCGGTCGACGCGTACCTGAGAGGAACGTCGCAAACTCTCCGTGCGTGCGTCCGGTTTTGTCCCCCCCGCCGTACCGCACGCGTTGTGCCCTGGTCCACGGTGTGTTACGTTCGGTGATACCAGCGACACACGTTCGTTTAGGAATCGGAGATCGTTCGATCGTCGTCGTTGTCCACGCGGTGATCGAGTCCGCGCGGCGAGATCCAGACCAGAGAGGATTCAGAGGCGTGCGCGGTTCGGACGCGTCTCGGGACCTGTGCAAGGAGAGCGGGAAACGCTCGTCAAATGAACGGACCAGCCTCGGACGGTCGCGGGCAAGAGAAAGCAGCCTCGTCGACGCGTCGACGCAGAGTGTCGAGGATCCGCGACGACCCGTCGTCCGTCCAGTGGTCGTCGGCCGCGCGAACTCGCCCCGGCGGTGCTCGAGCGAGCGCGTTCTCGCTCGCGCGAGCGGCGCGCGACTCGCGTAGCCGCCATCGTCCTCGTCGGCGCACCCGCAACTAGATTTCCTCGGCGAGGAACAGAAACGTTAGCGTCTCTGGTGAGTGGAAAACCGAACGGAAGCCCGGCCGATTGAACGACGATCGAGGATCGAGGAGCGAACGATCGAGGATCCGAGGCGGCGCGGACCCGTCTGACAGCGGAGCACGAGCAGACAGATGTCGCGAGCGGCGCGGGATCGAGCCGAGTCGAGCCGTCGCGCTCTCGACGCTGAAACGTTCTCCGTCTCGTTCGCTCGCCTCAGCTCGCCCACGTCGCCTCGTAAAGTAGGCGTCCGTGTAAATACGTGCGCGTACGCTTAAGCTACGTTTTCACGTGACGGTCCGAGACCCAAGAGACTTTTAGCCTCGGCAATTATTTTCGCTTTTGTTCGCGCGAGACGATCCACGCACGAAGATTGCGGCTTCCGTCGGCGACGATGCTCCCCGACGTCGCGTTGCCATCGCGCCCGCAATCGCCGAATGTTTACGCATCGGTTTTTTAATCGTTCGTGGGTCACCCCGTGGAATAACGATGGTTGTGCTCCTGGAGACAGTCGTGTTTTCTCGCATCGGTGAAACTTGTCGCTCCTAACGCTAATTACGCTGGTCTCCTTCCTCCTTCGTCGCTGCTGGCCACCATTAACCCCTTGACAGCTCGGTAAGGATCGACAGCTAGAACGAGCGCGTCTAAAGTCATCGCGGATACTGTTTCTTGGTCGTTGTATAACGTCGAACGTATTTTGCGCATCGGATACTGATACCTCGATCGTGCCTGACGACGTTGCGGGGGTGGTTTTACCTTCTCCCTCGTTGCAAGGTATCATCGTCATCCTCCTTCCCATGGTGTCACCGTGTCGCAGCCAAATTGCAGTACGATAATAATAACAGTGCTAATAATACCTTCGCTGCGGGTACAGCCTTTCAAATTGCATGCATAAACGATCGTGTAGGATAAGAATCGATGTCCATTTAACCCTCGACGATTCCACCTAGCTGATCAGAGTTTCTTGCGATGAAGACTGTATGAGGCTGGCCCGAAGCCGTCTCTGTTATTAGAACCGACTTAAATCTGTTGAATAGAAGAATAAAATTACTAAACGACGGCCGAAACAGAAAGTCAACAAATCTCTGAAATAGAAGAACAAAGTGAGAACTTGAATACAGAGTTGCTGTTTTTGCGGTAACCGCGACGACAAAAACGTCGTAGCGACCTTAGCGTTAATGTCACGTGAAAACGTACCTTTATGGGCTCGCATACCGACGCACACACGCGGCTAGGCAGCGCGCAAGCCCTTCTCGCTCCACGCACCTGTTCCGTTGTTGTCGTTCCGCCGCAGCGCGCGGAGTGCTTGCACGCGACAGCCCGTGCCCGTGCCACTTGCCTCCGGTTGCTCGTCGAGAGACGGTCCGGCTCGACGGAACGTCGTCTCCTCGTCTCTACGTCGTAGATTATTTTTCTCTCGGGGGGAATCATCCTCGCGGATCTCCTCGAGGAACGCGATATCGCTCGCGGATCAGAATCTCTCTTTCTCTCCTTCTCTCTATCTCTCTCCCACACACACACAGACACACGTACATCCGTACGCTTTGAAGTAAAATCGCTCGCGAGTGCTCCGGTAAACTCGCCGGTGCTCTCGGCTCGAGCACGCGAGGTCGCAGCCTTCCCTCTCCCTCTCTCCCTTTCTCCGTTGACGCGTCTCTTTGTCTTTCGACTTCCTCGGCTTCCCACCTCGCCGTTCTCTCGTACTCTCGCTTCTTCTCGCGGTCTCTCTCCCTCTCCGTCGGCGTTTCCCTTTCTCTCTGGGAGCGCGTGCCGCGCGTCGATTCCGCCGAATCGCGCGAAAAAGCTGAAGAGGACCGCGCGCGCCGATAACGGGCTCTCCTTATATTATAGCCGACGCGAGGTAATCGCGAGCAACGCGCATAATACTGAAACGTAATTAACCGATTAGAAGGAGGGTATTGCTCCTCATCGTCGTCGAACCCTTCGATTCCGAAGAGCTGTCGGATACCTGTTCCGTGCGGTACAGAGGTAGATTAACGCTGGCACATTCCATAGAAGATCCTCGGATGATATTCCATTCGTTTTTCCAGGATCTAGAAACGGAGACTGAGAGAATTTTTTGCTAAAAGCCACACCAGGGTTAACGGACAACATTTCATACATTTGCAAGTACATGCGATGTACGCTGCAAGTATATGTACCGAGCCCATACCTTATCGACGGGCCGGCCGTCGCGTTCTTGCTTGGAGGAGCAGGTTCGAAGGCGCCGCGCCGTCTTGCGTCCGCGCGACACCGAAATCTCGCTGGACGAGCGAGTTGGGTTCCCCCTCTCCTTGTTCTCCTCTTCTGGTCCATCGGCCGCATTCTTCTAAGGCCGCGAACGACTATATCCACTATCCGAGCCGGTCGAAATCGTAGATAAACGAAACTCGTCTTGTCCATTAGGCCATAGAAGCAGGAGGAGGAGACCTCGATCGCGATCGTCTTAGGCGCCGAGAGAGGAAGATGACCGGACCAGGGTCGAGATCGATCGGGGACTGAGTGGAAAATTTCGCTGGACTTTCTAGGCTCGGTGCGCTCGTAGGATTGGCCTTATTCGCGTCCGTCCGACCGTAGGAGAGATTCGATCCGCGAGACGCGGATTCTATGCAAATCCTTGCGCGCTTAGCGCTCGGCTCGGCTCGGCTCGGCACAGCTAAGCGCCCCCGGAGCCGCGGTGCTCGGCACCGCCGAGAGAATCCTTGAGCGCTGAAAATCTCGGCGCCTAGGCCTCGAACTGAGTCGAGTTGACTGAGTCCGGAGTCGAGTCGAGCCGAATCGAGCCGAGTCGCTTTACCGTGACGGAGCGGCACGAGAGAACGAGAGAGCGAGAGACAATGGCCGAGGGAAAATTCCGTGAATCGCGGTCGAGAGCGCGAGAGCTCGGATCGATCGCGCTCGAACGATTGCGAAACCGAACGCCTATCGATCGTGCGCGCCGTTCCGAGCCTCGCCCGCCGATTTCCTTATCCTCCGACCATATTCTCGATCCCCGTTCCTGCGGATCTACGCCGAAGGAAAAACGCTCCCGAAACAGGCCACCGAAGGGCTCGGGCTTGGTCGCTTTTCTCGGAAGCGATACGCAGCGAGACACTGGCCGTTATGGCTTTTTCGAAGAAAGATTCCGCGGGCCGCGCGTCACTAGTTAAAATATACAGCGATCCGGCGCAAACACGCGTCCAAGACGGAAGGTTACTACGGCGGACGTGATCGCAACAGCAACGAGTCGCCTCTTCGTTCCGGTTTCCCGAGCGTAGACATAGGTTGCTTCCGTTTCGGGCCGGTTACGGTGCACTGTGAAATAGATTCGTTTGTTTCCTATTTACCAATGGGAAAGACTCCTTCGTACGCGGACGGAATAATCGAATATTTAGGCATATAGCAGCGTTCCATGTGGTTGTGCTTACCGTATAGAGGACCCCTCGCGTCGTCGGTGGCTTCTGTTTCGAGGAGTACGCCTGTCGACTAGATTTGTACATTTATTATTTATCGAGATATGCTTGCATGGGAACAAAGAGTAAAATAGGTACATAGGGTCGCTTGGTTTGATAGTGCTTAATGTTAAAACGTTTCACTCACGACTTTCCCGTCGAGAAAGATCCTAGCAGATACACGTTCGTTTTCCGTTCCCAGAGGATCGTCGTCGGTGAGAGCGAAGGACGAACGGATTGCATCCACCGCAGAAGAGGATGGAGTCGAGGACGCCGTTGGCCCTAGCTCTGACCCTGGCCTTGCTGTCGTCGCTCGCAAGATGCAACGCCTCTGAAAGCATAATAGGTGAGTTTCGGCCGGGTATACGATCATCGTCCGTCATCGATTCGGCAACGGGTCGATCCGGCCCGATTCAGACTGATCGCGCGTTCTCCGCTCGCGAGCGCGTCACGCTCCATTTGCGAGTTTTCAATGCTCTATTCTTAGTCTATCTCCATTATCTCCGGATATTTTTGCGTCGAGTCGAGTAGAGCCGGGTCGGGTCGGATCTAGCCGAGTAGAATCGGGTCGGGTCTAGATACTCTCAGCGAGTCGCGATCGGATCGATCCGAGATAGTTGCCGGTCGTCGCGCGGATCCGTCCGTTACCGGTTCCGGGTCGCGGGATTCGCGAGGGAAAGAGGTCTCGCATTTCCAGCGCGACACGAAACCGATCAAAGAGGCGCGCGCGCGCGGAACAGAGAAAGAGAAAAGAAGGCGAAGAAAAAGGCCGTGTACACCAACGCCGCGTCCTTTCTCGCACGCATTCCTGCGCACTTCGACCGATCCGCCGAGATTCTCGCGGCGCTTTCGATCTCGATCGCAGCCTCGAAACGCATCGGCGACGAGTCGCGGAAACCGAAGAGGACAGGTGCGCTGCACACGGGGACCACGACTCGCACTCGCTCGGTCTTATTTTCCTTCGTTCCTGTTTCTTTCACCCGGATTATTACGTACGTTTTATCAAATCAGTGCTCGACATTTAACGAGATCCACACAAACAAGCTCGTTCTTTTATCGCGAATTCATTTCGCTGGAATAATACTGCCGCATCAGCACATTTCCCGCGCAGCTACGGTCTACGATTCCGCATAATCGATTGCAAAATGTAAAAAATAATATCGAACTACTTCGAGGAAAACACAGACGAAAGAAGAGGCTGAATGCGCGTGTTTCCTACTAGTCTGACGCAATTATTTTATATAAATCTATTACAGTCGATTTCGGATATTTGGGACACGCCGAGACTAGCGACACTCTAACGTTCAATTAAAGCGAACGAGATTCTGTTCTCTCTTGTCCCAAAGAAACGATTGTCTCTCAAATTATGCGGAATCTACTGTGCTTTACAAATAGAAAGGATGCGCAATCCAGTAGGATCTAGTAGTATACTTTAGTTATAGTAGGATCTCCGGTTATACTTTAGTGCTAAGTATCGGTAACCTGCTGATTATGAGAGAGCGGGAGGATCCGGCATCGATTTCGACCGTTTCTATTGGCCACCCCGACGCCGACGTCTTTGCCGTCACGTCGAGCTCTCGGCTTGCGAGAACTCGCGCACTACGCTCGCCGGTTCACGTGGAACGCGAAGGTCGGCTGTCTGAAACGGTCGACGTCGTTGCGGATCGCGGTGCCAAGGTATGGCGTGGATTATCTCTTGGAGAAATCGATATCGTGCGACCGCGAAGCGCGCCGCGCCGTATCGCGCCGATCCGTTTCCACGACGGACCGCCGCGCCGGATTCAATTCGCTCCTCAGTGATTAGCGTCGCGGATTTGCTTGCAGGGAGCCGGGAGACGTGCGAAGTCGAGGGAGAAGATTTCACCGTCGACAAGATCCCGAACACCAAGTGCTTCAACTGCATATGCAAGGTAACAATCGATCGCGATCCATCCTCTCTTTGCCCACTTCTCGCGCGTGTTTTCGCGTCGCGCGTCGCGCTATCTGTAGACCTATCGGTCGCAAAAATGCTTTCGAGACTCCGATGGCAGCTTGAACTGTCGGCGAACCGGCAATTATCAGCGCGTTTGGTTCGTTGACTCTCGCCGACGCTCGCGACGAGAATCTCGCTCGCTCGCTCGGGTCGCGAGAGCGCGGACATTAAATGATCCGATAACTTGGAAATTTCCGAATCGCAGGCGCGAGACACTTTCGCTATTTTGTACAAGTTCGGTTACAGGGAACCACGCGGGGGATCCGTGTCGCGACGCTCGCCGTTCGACAGAGAAACGGAAAGGACCGCTTGTTCACCGGTTGCGGTCGTGCGCGTCGTAATCTTTGTTATTTTCGAAAGCCGCGACCTTCTTGCGCTCGCTGTGCGACTACCCGACGTGACCCGCGTTCAATTGCCGCTTTACGCAATTCGGCCGCGAGATAAATCCCAAGGGTTTAATTATAGGTCGCGATAACGCGAGACCGCGAGAAGCAATTGTGCACCGGGGATATAGATATAGCCGCCCCGATAGCGTCTCCGGCGAAAACTGACTCGGCCGTCTTCGAGCAACGAAATTCTCCTCACATCGGAGCTTTCTGGTGCTCGGGAAACTTTCTCTATTTGTCTTCTCTGTGTCGCAGAACGGCTTCGTCGAGTGCAGGAAACAGCACGAGTGCCCCAGCATCGAGGGCTGCTACACACTCCTGGAGCCGAGGGAGGACGAGTGTTGCCACAGGTGTAAAGGTATGGGCAGACCGATGAGAATTATCACACGAGACTCCCGTTGATCCGTTCGACGAAAACACGGTGATTCAGAGTTGGGATCTTGCTCCGGAGAAAACTGTAACGAGACATCATTTTCATTTACTCTATTCCATATAGAAGAACAAGTGGTTTTCTATTTTGCTTTTTGCAATCACTTTTGACAATCTTGATCTTGCGCAAAGATGCTCGGAAGCAATTGCAAGAAACAGAAGTTGTATACATGTCCTCTGTCCGTTTCTGAATGGTATATGTTTCATCCTGCTTGCTACTATTCCAGTACTAGGCCAGAACTCTCTAAGAAGCATCGTGCCGTTCACGTATAATACCGTAGGGTCGAGGTTTGCAATTGGCACTAAACCTCGAGATGAGGAAAGTCGTAAATTAAACTACAAAAATCCATAGTTATCCGAGCTCGTTAGTACTTTCTCTAAATCTTCACCTCGACCCCCAAGGTGTTAAAGTGCAGGTTTCATGCGGAACCACGTGTGTGGTCATCTAAGCCAGGCTTCTGGCGTCGGACTTGAGCGCGGCCGCGCTTTCACTGGGCTCCAAATACTTGCGGCCATCTCGTTGAACAAACATCTCGTCCTCTCGCGGAAATTCCTATCGTTCCCGTCGTCCCGAATCGCTCCAATTGCCTTCAAGCGAGCGATCGCGCGCGAACGAGGGTCACGAGCGCGCGAGCTCTCCGCGAAAACGAGCAACACGGAGGAGTTTTGGCTGAGAGGAATGCCCGGGGCGCGCGAGCATTGTTCTCGCGGCACAAAGCCGCTTCTGTTCGCCGATACGGCCGATAAACCCGAGGAACTTCGGCATCGTCGCGTCCTCCGAGCATGTTTACACCGGCCTGTCGTCGACCGACGGACCGACAGATGCGCTCTCGACCGTGCCACGACCGCGGCCGCGGCCTCCTTATCTCCGGTTCTATTAATTGGGCGACGCTCTGACGCAAAACAAGCGTTCCAGTTCGCGCGACCCGCAACTGGACTATTCCTCGTCGAAAAACCCTCCAGACCGTCCGTCTACCTAGCTTTGTTCAATTGCGACTTTAGAAGCGCAAGCTTGGGATACATATCGAAGCACTGCTCGTTCAGCCAGTCTTCATGCTCTTCAGATCCATCGGCGACCAGTCTTTTCGATCACCAGATACTGGAATAATAAATATCTTAGCTACCGGTTCGATTTCGATTCTGGATATATAGGAAGATAAAAGAGCATACCCTGGTGCTCTCGCGATCTAGAGCGTCCTCGGTACTTTTCCGCATCGCTCGCTCGCTCTTCGGCTACTCCCAAGCGAATCCCAGATTCAATTTAGCCCGTTGTAACATACCGATCCTGTTGTGGATACAGGATGCTTAAGGAACGGCGTGTACCATGAGTCCGAGACCGAATGGACGGAAGGGAATGACCCGTGCCGGGTATTCACCTGCAAGGCCGGCGTCGTCACCGAATCTCGGCTACACTGCTACACGCCCTGCTCGAAGCCGATACCCGCCCCCTCGGGCCAGTGCTGTCCTGTTTGCGCTGGTAAGCGTAACAAGATTGACATCGTCGTCTTTACCGTGCGCATCCGCTGTGCTTTCTTTACGTTTGTTTGGTGGCTCGGTTGTCCACAGGCTGCCACGTGAACGGACAGGTAGTGACCGCGGATAGATCCGTAACGACCACCGAGGACCCGTGCGTGACTTGCAGGTGCAACGCGGGTCGGCTGATCTGTGCGAAGCGTGCCTGCCCGGTGCTGCACTGTCCATCCTCGAGGATCGTTCGCGACCCAGGCGAGTGCTGTCCCCGGTGTAAAGGTAGGTTGCTTCATCCGTCCTGCAAGAAAATCGTAAGGGACATTAGGCATTCTTTTGACGCTCGAACAGGTAGCGGAAGATACATGTCGCCGCCGAAAGGCGCGTGCATGCTCGGTACCAACATCTACAATACCGGCAAGCAGTTCTTCGCAGACCAATGCACCCGATGCAGCTGCTCGAACTCGGCGGTGACCTGCGTCAGAGAGACGTGTCCGGTCCACGACTGTCCCAGCGAGCATCAGATCGCACTGCCGGGTCGCTGTTGTCCACAGTGTCCAGAGATCGAGGAGGTTCGACCATCGTGCACCTACGCCGGCAAAACCTACGGGGCGAGTATTTGCAAAGTAACTTGCCGACGACGTCGAAACCGTTTCCTCGTCAAGCTCTGGTTCAAATGTACTTATTTGCCCTAGGCAGGATGGCGAGACTTGGAAGCTTGATTCGTGCAAAGCTTGTGCCTGTACGCAGGGCAAGGTGAGGTGCGTGATGCCGATGTGTCCGACGTTGAACTTACCCTGCCCGCCGAACTCGAGGCTGGAACACCCGGAGGGCCAGTGCTGTCCACGCTGCGTCGAAAGTAATCACCTCTCGTTCGATCGATAGTAGCTAACGCGGAATCCACCTCTAGGCTCTCCGGATCTTGATACGCCAACGATGCTGTTTCCTGTTTTTGCGCAGGCGACGGCGTGTGCACCGTTTTCGGGGATCCGCATTACCGCACGTTCGACGGCAAGTTTTACAGTTTCAAGGGCGCCTGCAAGTACCAGCTGGCTAGTGACTGTGCCGGTCACACGTTCAGCGTCCGAGTGACCAACGATGCGAGGTCGACGAGGTTCTCTGCGTGGACCAAGACGATTGCTATCAAGGTAGGCGTCGCTTAAAACTTTCACGAAAGATAAAGCTGTCTGAAATAGACTTGTTCGTTCGAGGGCTCTGTACCTCAATATAAAGCTAAGCCGGTTAACCAACCCGTGGTCCTTAGGTCGGCGACTTGAAGATAAATCTCGGGCAGAAGATGCGCGTCAAGGTGAATGGGAAGAAGGTGGAGGTGCCGTACCGAGTGGCTAACCGGCTGGAGGTGAACCGAACGGCAGACAGTATAGTGGTAGCCACGCAGATCGGGATCAAGGTCTTGTGGGACGGAATCAGCTTCCTGGAAGTGTCGGCGCCTACGTCGTACAGAGGTCGGTTGTGCGGGCTCTGCGGCAACTTCAATTCGCTGCCGAAGGACGACTTCGAGAATCGAAAGGGCCGGGTGATGCAGGACCCTCAACAGTTCGGTCAATCGTGGGCGGTCGGAGCCAAGAAAAGCTGCGTGCGACCGCGACCGGCGGCTAATCTGGATCGCGACAGACGTTGCAGAGGCCGAAAAGATCACCGGTGAGTCTCTCTAATGGAACACACAGATTGGTAAATACAGTACAATTGTGGATGTGTCTGGCCGCAGGTTGTGCAACCGACTGAGATCACAGATCTTCGACGCCTGCCACAAGAAAGTGAACCCGACCATGTACTACAAGGCCTGCTTGCAAGACATGTGCGAGTGTCCCGGAGAGAACTGCTACTGCGAGTCATTCACCGCGTACGCGCACGAGTGCAAGAGACTGGGCATTCAGTTACCACACTGGCGGAAGTCGACCAGGTGTCGTACCGGCTGGGACCAGGCGGCCGCGGGTTCCTCGTTAATCGGCCCCCGATCCCCATAAGAGTTTTGCATCGAATTCGCATCGATTCGTGTCGCGTGGTCGCACGTTCACCGCCTCCGCAGTCTCGAACGCGCATCCTCTCGACTTTGATCATCGGGGACGGTAACCATCCGTACCATCCGTGGAGTCGAAGCGCGAGATGTTCGCTCGACGAGAGTGTCCGTTCTACTAGTCACCCCTTCCCCTGGAGAGATCGAGATCTCGGACAGAGATCAATGACGACCGTCGATCGTCGACCGCCCACGGGAACGGGAATCATCGCGGAAACACGACCCGCGACCTTCTTCGACGCCCAAAACGGTTCCGGAGCACCGTGCAGTATTTCGGCCGATGAGCAGGCTCGCGGCATAGCATCTACCTATCGATCCTCCGTTTCGTCCCCTTCTAGACTTAAGAGAAGCGTCCCCCAGCGTCCTCGTACAGGGTATTCCGTGTGTGTATTCCGAGTGAGCGAACCCGAACTGTTTTCCATCGGAACCTCGAACCACGCTTTCCGGTCCGCGATCTTTAACCTATGGAATAAAATCACCTTTTGTTAATGCCAGCGAAAAACGTAACGATACAGGACCATGTTTTTTATACTTTCGTAAACGCGGCCCCTGCAACAGCGGCTACAGTCTTTGCATCAACGGAGGGAAACTTACGCACAATGAACATTGGTTTCCGTTTTAAAGTGTTGTAAAGTCCTTCTCGCATTCACCACAATTGTCTGTACTCGTTTCTGTATTTAAAATGTTTTATTGCATCGATGTTGTTAAATTTTTACTACTTTCTGACGGCTGGACAAATTTCAATATGGCCGGTGTGGACCGTAAAGCATTACCCTTGACAAACCGACTCACCGATCACGTGTACATAGACGCACCGCGTCCCTTTTCTACGATCACTCTCCTTCGTTCACTTCTCACCTTTCTTCGCTTCGCTTTCCACAACCTCTCTTCCTCCTTCGAGTCTCATCCTTGAACTTCCTCTCCGTTTCTTCTTTTCTTCCGACGTTTTCCGGATTTATCTTATCTGTTTCCCTCGTAGAGTACAGAGCGCGAGGATGAACGCACACACCCTCGCGTCCACGTGTGTTGGATTCTCTGTGTGTGTCTGTGTGTGTGTGTGCACCGTGTCGATGTAACCGGCAAGATTTCGTGGAGGTAACCACAAATATACTGGATAGTCCAAAGCTTTAGCCAATTTTTAACGACTATACATATAGTGTAGAAATACTCTGGTACGGAACGAAACACGAGTAAAATAAACGACGTATATATTCGTAAGAACAATTGTCGTTTTCTTCTACCGTTGAGATCTTTGAAATCGTCGAACGGGAAGACCGCTTACTTGTCTCATTACATATTTCTAATTGCTGTTATCCTTCCCCATTGCGATTTTGACACGGTTAAGTGAGCTTGAGTTCTTCTGACAGCCGGATAACGTGAAGGAACGGTTCAAAATATCGTTCCATGGCACAATCACTGAACGAGCCTGCTTGTTGACTTACGTTTACGCGCGAAATACAAACTGATCTGGATTTGTGGTGAAGGACGACATCTATACCTCACAGATGCACTGTGATTTCAATCTTCATCGATAAAGTAGTGGGAGTAATAAGCCGGCGCCATCTTGTGGTTGAATAAGGTATTAAATTATCTAATGGCTTGAGGGTTTTGCCGTAAATGGCACTGCGATGTTCAAACAAATTTAATATGTATTAATTTGAAAGACTACAAATATCAGTTGCAGAAATAATACGAATAAAATATTCGATAAATAATAAACCATAGTTTTTAATCATAGTTTACGTGGCTTTTACGATACTTCATGCGTATGTTTACACAGGTTTAAACACTATGACACATGATGTGTGTCCACGTGTACCAAATACATTTGTGTAGAAGTAAAATACCTCCCTAAAAGGTGCATTTTATTTATTCTTAACAATTAAATATTTTCAGTTATCGCTGCGATCACTGCGAATTTTTCGATAAATTCTCTACGTTATCGAAGTCGGTAATCCATACTCATTTAAATAGTATACAGTGTTGAAAAGACAATATGGCCGCGGACAAGATTAATCAGTTTTTTGGTGTGAAAGACAACTTTTTCATCGGTAATTATCAAGAATGCATCAAGGAGGCACAAAAGATAAAGGTTTGCGATACAATCATTAGTTGTTTGAATATTCTTTTCCTTGCATACTCTCTTTGTAATATTGCATATGACATGTATTTCTCTTGTCAGTCAACTATCTGTCACTTCAGAAACAACTGGTTCTTTAACAGCATGATTTTTATTGCAGCCGTCTACGCCAGAAATGGCGATAGAACGAGACGGGTATCTCTATCGTGCATATATAGCACAGAGGAAATTCCGCGTTGTATTAGATGAAATCAACAGTTCATCACCAGCTGTACTTCAACCCCTAAAAACATTAGCGGATTACTTTGCCAACCCCGATCGTAGAGAAGCTATACTCGCACAACTGCAAGAGTCAATTAGTCACATTGATTACTCTAATTACAACTTCTTGATCGTTGCTGCCACTATCTATTATCATGAGAATAACCTTGATGCATCCCTTTCGGTACTTAGGGATACAGAACATCTAGAATGCATGTCGTTAAAGTTAGCAATTTATTTGAAAATGAACAGAGTAGACCTTGCGAAAGAAGTATTGAAATCTATGCAAACGATAGATGAAGATTCCACTGTGACCCAATTGGCTCAAGCATGGTTAAACATTACCACTGGTGCGGACAAGTTACACGAAGCCTATTATATACTACAAGTACATACAGAAATCTTTTTGTAAATATATTTATTTTAGGCAACTTTTTTTTATTAATGCGTTCTATTATCATAGGAAATGACAGATAAATATTCTCGCACGAATATGATGTTGAATGGACAAGCTACCTGTTTCATTGGACAAGGCAAATACGAAGAAGCAGAAACAGTTTTACAAGATTCTCTCGAGAAGGATAGTAACAATCCAGTTACTCTGATCAATATGGTTGTCCTCTCTCACCATTTAGGAAAGCAACCAGAAGTTGCCAACCGTTACCTGAGTCAGTTAAAGGAGTCTCATGCAGACCATCCATTTGTTAAAGAATATGCCCAAAAGACTTCAGAATTCCAAAGGCTAGTGAAGCAATATTCCGTGTCTACATAAAAACACGAAACCAGACTACTTTATGCAATTTCTTTGTAGATAGAAGTATTCATATATTTTCATTCAACTGATTGAATAAAAAAGAGAAACATTGTCAAAAGACATACAGTATGTTTGTAACAATTGTAAAAGAAATTAAAATGATTACAGAAACATTTGATATTTTATTTCACGATGATCGCGTTTCCCGTGAAGAGATTCGAAAAGTGAAACGATAGGCGAATGTTCTCGCGGTTGGTTTGGTAAGTCCAGATTTGGTCACGCGTCTCGCCATCTGACGTCGTGTTCCGCAAGCATCTAGTGTCAAGCCAAGGAACGTCTATTACGTCGAGGAATTCGAAAATTTAAACGGCAAGTCTCGTAGTTGCTCCGGATGCGTTAAAAGTGTCAAGAGCCTCGCAGAAATCCCAAGGACGTGTATTCGTTGCAAAAATAATAGACTCGCCAGCAAGGATCGCGAGACACTTGGTGATCCATCTGATTCCGGCGGGAGATACGACTGCAGCTAGCCAACAATTCGAAATATCTTCCTCTTGGTAATAAGCGTGGCAGCGACACACGAAATCTATAGTAACTATTTTGGCAAATAACTACACACGACAGATCAAACCTATACGGATCCTCGCAACATGGCGACACGAAATTGGTAGACGATCACACAACGTTAACCATGCTCGAAGCTGTGATGAATTCTGTAATAATTCTTGCCGCGGTGTTGATCTACTCCGAATTTTCTGTGGTTTCTCAACTACTTCGCTCTGTTCCGCCAGAATTCCGATTTTTTTCAAGTTATTTACGAACAGTGTCTTGAACGTTAATCGCTCGGCAGGTAGATTTTTTTCCTACACGCACCACCCTTTGAATATAACCGAACATTGTGCCCCTCGTATGTTTACGATACCGATTCCACCGCGTGAGTAATAAGTTTGAAATAATTTTCTAATTATACAGCATTACGATATTGGTTTCATGTAACCTTACACATATAACACGTACACATGGATTTCTATGGTACACACAACTCATGTTTTTTTACTGATCTGTGAAATCTGTGGTTGGGTTCAGAATGTGTTGTATTTTATTGTTGCAGGAACTCGTTGCAAAAATTATAAAACCAGTGTTTGTGCGGACACCTTGGAGAATAGAAAGTTTTAACGTTGGCCTTGAACAAAAGCACGGTCCACTATTTGGGATTAATACGGCAATAAACAAGATTCAGTCAGAAAAACGAGCCTATGTATATTCAAAGTAATTTATAGTTACGAAGGAATGAGATGCATTGTGAAAGAAGATACAGGGTTCATATTTAGTTTTTCAAGAACATTATCAATTTATATATTATTTATTTAGTAGTTAGCAAGACATATACGTATATATATATATATTTAATAATTTATTTTCTATATTATTGCTCATTGAAAACGAAAAAGAAGGTATATCATATCTGCATCGAAAAGAAGTATAGAAAGAACAAAGAGATTTGTGTACACGATTAATTTTGTTTCGTGTCTTTTGACATATTGTAAATGAATGAAATTAACATTTGATATTTAACTGATTTTCTTGTATGTAGTGTGATAGCTACGCCGTCAAAGATACAAAGTTTTTCCATAGATTTAAGTAGCACATTTGATATTATTCTGTACATTCACTTTGACTATGTATCACACTATGTATCCGCCACAAATAATGGTGCAGATAATGGGTGGCCAACAGGCAAATGGACAATGTCCACCAGTTCAAACACATGCAATGCATATTCATGGTACAAATATGTTTCATCAAGCTGAGTACGCAAAGTATCGGCCAGATGCTTGTGCACAAAATAGACATCAGTTGGTGCAGGTACAATATTGTATATAAGGATGGTGAAAATACCATCAATATTTATTTATCTTTTGGAGTACAAGCAGTATTCTTGCAGACAGGATCTTACCCATTGGAATTATTGCAACTGATGGGTGTTGAAATACCTTCTTTGCGACGCATAGAATATGTGCAATCGAATACTGGCACACCTTTGGGAAACTGGCAGAGACGTGTGAACGCTTCGAACAATTCACCTATTATACCGTCTCCTCATGTCGCTTTTAGACCAACTAACAACGGTTTGGTAAAGAAATCAAATTGGTATAGTAAACCTGGTAAAAGAACTCCGTTCAGAGAAACGTTCGGGAGCAACGAAAAATATGGTAGCGATAGTGGCTTTAGTTCACGTTCACCTACGCCAAACAAACATCAAATCGACAATAGTCTAACAGAAAGCTCAGATGAACGAGATTCTGTAGTTTCTTCTGTTGATCAGAACATGAAGTAAGTATGTTATATTTGGCAAGAAAAGATGAAATACTTTCACGAAAATAATTCCAGTATCATAAATTAGGAGGCCTCTTCTTTTTATAGGAAACCACAGAAACCTCATTTGAATAATGCTATAAATAATAGAGTAATGCAGTACAGCGTTAATTCAAATGCTTCTACTCATCAATTTTATCAAAATCAAAGACACGTTAATGTTTATCCTACTGCAATGTCAACGTCTAGGTCGCAAGTGCAGAATTATCAAAATAAAAGGAGATATCACTCAGGTAGATTTATGTTCGTATAACTGTTGGATTTGTTTGTATATTTGTCTAATCAACAATTGTATTTGTAGGGAGGAACAGTCCACCTCCTCAAAGACTACAACGGAGCAAAAAGTATATAGGATTAATATCGCCAAATTATAATACGATTCCTAGATATGGTATTGCTCCAGATCGATTCCTTGCTAGATCACATTTGGTCGAAGTAACTCACACGCCCGACGACCTGCTTAATGGATCCATTTGGGATAATCTCTCCAAAGATATTTGGTCAAAGTTTATGTTGAATCAGCAAACTGAAACTGTTTACAGAAACAAAATGATGCTATGGAGATACCTCTATATTTATATTAAAGTAATATCGATACTATTTCATCGTATCACTGTCACTTAATATTTTATGTTTAAATTAAAAATTAAATGTTTTATGTTTAGACTGCATTTCCAAAATATGGTTTATTTTTGGTTGGATCTACGATGAATGGATTTGGATCAGATAATAGCGATGTTGACATGTGCCTTTTAGTGAGGCATACAGAGATGGATCAAAGAATTGAAGCTATTGGGCACTTGGAGCAAATATTGAAATGTTTAAAGAGATGCGGTATGTTGATTTGAGCAATGCAATTATCACTGCACGTTTCATCTAAATAAAATAATGTATTCTGTGCCGACAGTTTTTATAGAACAATTGGAACTTATACAAGCAAAGGTACCAATCCTGAAGTTCCACGATTCGATACAAAATTTAGAAGTGGATCTAAACTGTAACAACTCGGTCGGCATTCGTAACACTCACTTGCTCTACTGTTACTCTCGAAGTAAGCTGACTGTAGATAGTAAATTATCCAATTAAATGCGAGACAAACCACCCGAACTAATCTCTAAATATTATCACAGTTGACTGGAGAGTGAGACCACTGGTTCTCGTCGTCAAACTTTGGGCTCAGTCTCAAGATATTAATGATGCAAAGAACATGACCATATCAAGTTATTCCTTGGTTCTTATGGTTATACATTTTCTACAGTGTAAGCGTAAAATTTCTCATTTTGCCAAATTATATGAAGTTCAATATATACCTGACATGATTCGTTTGTTTTTCAGGCGGTGTTAGTCCTTCAGTGTTACCTTGCTTGCACACCCTTTATGAAGGTAAATTTACGCCACACACAGATATCCATTGCATCGATATGCAAGAAGAAATAGACATTCCAAGTACCGTCCTACGGCCTAAGAATCGACAGTCGTTAGGGGAACTTCTAGTTGAATTTTTTCGATATTACGTTACATTCGAGTGAGTAGAAACGTGCCAATCTTAACGTTGTACTACTGTACTAAATCAATGAAATTTGTACAGCTTCAATCAGTACGCGATATCAGTACGGTTGGCTAACAAGATTCTCATAGAGGAATGTCGAAGAGCAAGGTCCTACAAAAATGATCCACACCAATGGAAGTATTTGTGCATCGAAGGTAATTGACTTGCAACCAACAAATTGGAGATTATCTTCTTCGACTTAGTGTTTCATACGATTCCCTCGTACATTTGCAGAGCCATTTGATCTAACCAACACTGCAAGATCAGTGTACGACCCTGACGTGTTTGCAAGGATTAAACGTGTCTTTGACCGCACGTACCAAAACTTGAAGGAGCACCACGACCTGGCCAGGATATTTGTTAAGATGGATACTGCTACTTCCTATATTGTCACGTAACTGTCGTTCACAGGCTAGTACAGACATTTTTCTTAGTTAGGGTAATTTTCTATAGGGGAGCAGTTTATTTTTGCCATGGGCCTCGATCAAAGTAATCATGGGGCAACAAAACTGATATCCTTGCCACACCGAGATGTCGAGTACACAGAATGTGGTAATTCTCTACGCTTATCTCGAGCTATCACGCTCGTACCTTGTGATAATAACTTGCGCTTGCGTGCAATGGCTCACCTGTTGCGTTCCCATCGTCGAATTTTTCTTTCGTTTCGTTTCCGTTCGAATTACTTTTCTTTTTTCAATGTGCAATGCCACTTACATTACGCGTTTCTATACACGAAGCGAAAAGAAATATATCGATCGCAATTATTATTTACATATTTAGAAAGATTACTCAACGAATTCTTTTTTTAAACAATACGTGCAATAGCCTCGAGAAAGACCTTGAATTCAATCGAAGGTTTGACAACGTTCTTCTCGTATGAACATTATTTTTTCTTGAATTCGAATTCCGATGTGTCCTTCGTGATAAAATTTCATTTTTTTTTTCAAATACATATATAAGAACATGGTGCCTTACGATTATCAAAGTATTATTAAATTCAATCGTTAAATACACATAGCTTCACGCTGGATACGATGAAACTATTTGAGTTTTTCACGGTCATTACTCACAGCGAAAAAATAAATATTGTTAGCTCGATACGTCAGGAAAAAGATTTAAAATGAAATATTCAAGAACGACACGTCAATGATTTTTCGTCTAAACCAGAGATATTCATATACACAAAAAAAAGATACTTAGCCTTGATCAAAAACTCATAATCGTAAATTTATATTTAAAAAGTAATGAAAAAAAAACTTAAAAAAAGAAAAAAGACAAAAAATTATTGTTCGAAGAAAATAATAAGAGAAAATTTAAAAAAAAAATGGATAAGTATAGATCGACAACATCGAACTTCTCTTCAATCTACGTATCTTATTTAATTGTTAACAAAAAAATCAAATCTACTAAATGAATATAATATGTATTACTTACATCTTATCACGGTCACCTTTTGACCATCTACATTACGTGCCAAAGAAATTAATTTCGTCTTTCGTAGGTGAAGAGATATTTCGTAATTTGAACATTCTATTAATTGCGTATTTTCTTTTTTAAAAAGAGGCACGCCAATCAAGTATGCATTTTGGAATTTAAAAAAAAATAGACTGAAAAAGTTCTCTACCATAGAAGTAATTAAAATTTCAACATTATCTTCGTAACTCGTTATGTAGCAACCGAAGTTCCTATTTTCAATGTAAACGTGAACACTGTCTTTTGATTCCGTTTCTAGTCTGTTGTTCACTTAAAATGTAATGTAACTCGTTGAATGATACTTAGAAAACAGAAGGCTGTGTTGACAGTATAAAAATTATCAACTGAGATATTCCATTGCTGGGTCTGTAACGAACGAATCCTCAATGACACTTGATTTTTCGAATGGAGATCGATGCCTCGTTAACGATTATTTACCGAAATTTTTTTTGACTATAAGATTTTTAAGATTCATTCCCTCCAATAATTGTTATCTTTTGGCGGGCCCAGTAAGTTTTTCTAATCAATAATTTACTTATTTTTGTACGAAATGTAAAAGATTTAACTGACAGAGAGAAAAATACCTTGTTATCTTCCCCCCAATCGTCAATTCTACGCACACCTAACGCCAAAGTTTAAAGTAATAGTATATCAGACTTTTGTAATTTTCATTTTGCTGTTAAATAAAAGAAATATTTATATACGTTTAAAGCCTCGCCCCTTAAATCTACCACGTTTTCTATCGGGCAACGCGACATATCCTTCGGTTGAAAGACAGAACTACCCAGTTCCTTCGAATTAAATTTATTCGTTCCTTAAGGTTTTCACAATGAATTTCCATATATTCTGCAGTTAGCGGTGCGCTGTTGGTCGGAAAGGAAAAAAGAAAACAACTTTGGATTTGCATAATGCTGTTCTTTCAATTTGCTTTTTTTTTTCTTTTTCTGTATAATCATCTCAAATTTATTCGTATTTGTGATCAATTCAAATACCGCGAGAAGCCAACACAGACAGAAAGTAGAAAATAAAGTAGCAGGGGTATTTCGTGCGTGTGTGAACGTACTGTAAGAGGGTAAAAATGAACGAAACAAAAAGAAAGCGCATCTGAATTACAAATTAGTAGATAAAACAATATTTTGGTCAGTACATTAGAACGAGTAAAATACCTTGAACGCTAAATGGACTAATTCACACCGTTCATGGACAATGAATAAACGTTCCTCCGATGTCAGATATGATATATCTCTGTAAAAATTTCAGAACTGCGTCCACCGCATTTGTCGGATGTTTGTACGACTCTTTGTTCTGTGTATTCGTGTGTGGGTTATTATGTACCATCATTGGTAGCTATACGGGAACCGATCTTCGCCCGTTATTCGGTGAACAAGCGACCATAATTTCCCTCCGCATTTTAAATACGTGCGTTATTGCGATATTCTTTTCTTTTACAATGTTCGACGGTCGTACTCCTACCAAAAATGAAACAAAATATATACCAAATGAGATATACTCGTTTCTCCATTATTGCGCTCTGTCGACCCCTGCCGTAAATAAAATATATACACGTATATGTACGTACGCGGTCTAACCAGACAAATAGAAACTAATAAACATGATCAGAATTAGGTCAGTTATAGGATTTCCTTGTTTGGTCAGCATAATCATCAACATTACGCCCCAAGCCTGCGAGAAGGACTCCGATCTTCGTGATGATGATATATTTTTGGGTGTCGGCCTCGTACTGTTCGACGACCAATTCAAAAGTTTGGCGACTTTCGATCGACCGATGTTCTCCGTCGGTAAAAATATGTTTCCTGTCTCGTGGTGTTCGTTCCCCTGTCCGAGTTGCCGGCGTGTCCACGCGTTATTGTCACTCCCATCACGATTTACGATCTAGGTAAGGGTGGAAAACAGATGGTACGAGCCATCAAGAACTACTCCAAGGTCTCCCCTGTTTTCACAATATCTCTTTCACGAGGCATTTCCTTTCGTCTCTTTTTCGTTCCCAACTCTGTTTCTCTCGACTCGAGCAGTAGTTCCGTGAACACTAGGTCACGAAGATATTCGAACACTTGCAGCAGCAATCACGAATCGTAACACGTCGAACGCTATTAACAAGCTTCTAAAAACACGTTTCGTTTTTAATCGAGATACAATTCGAATCAGCGGAATTGCATTGTCGAGGTTTAAAGGCCAACCGATCGAGTCCACAAACGGTTACGAAACATTTACTATAAACAGATGTAGTCCAAAGGTCACGGAAGAAAATATACGCGCGTACATATGGGTCCGCGAGGGCGGTGCGAAACGAGAAATTTACCTTTTACGTCACCGCCTCGAGTCTTCATAAAACCGACGCTTATAATATATGTTTCTTAACGGTCTCCCCAAGCGTTTCGTTTCAAACTCCGCTTCTCGATGACTCGGCTGTACCTGGGAAAATATAATCCCAATATGACGTTTTTGTGCGTCGTCGTTCGCGATTTCTTAACCGGAAGTGTTCGAACACTGTCGTGACCCGTTTTTTTCGTGTAGCCCCAAGGGAGATCGGTAAGACACGTAACGCGCGCATCGATATGCTGATATATTATTTTATCTCCGATATCTCTTCCCCATGCGGTTTCGTGAACTATTAATATTCGTAACGTTATATACGTCTTGTCTTTCCTTTTCATCGTGCAGAGAGATTCGGTGCGGTCGTACGTTGAACTTACTATATTGGCACACTTTGTCGTAATCTGGTCGAGTCACGAAGCGTCACACGTCCCATCATATCCTCTTTATTATTTATTTATCATCATTATTATTATTATTATTGCTGCTGCTTTTTTTTTATTTTTCATATTTTGACTTTTTTTTGTCTTCGTTTCTTTCTTGGTTTGGTTGTTGTTGTTGTAGTTGTTGTTCCTGTTGTAATTCTAGCGTCACTCGATCCCCGCGATAAAACGGTCCGTTCACGATAAGCGCGTGTCACGGTGAGTTGGTGGTTTTTTTTGTGGTGAATTGTGTGTCGTCTCCCAGTCTTAACCCCCTTTTATTTTGTTACCGTTGGCGTGTCGCCGCACACTGTGCCATGTTCCATCCGACGATGTTTTACCATTCATTTTTTCCCCTGGTCTTCAATGTTTTCTTTTGTTCACATCGACGGTTCGCTTTTTTGGTTCTCTTTTCCCATTTTTCGTTTGTTTCATTTCATTTCCTTTTTTTTCTTTTTCTTTTTGCGACGAACTCCTCTCTGTTGTTGTTGTTGCTGCTGCTGTTGCTTTTTTTGTTTGTTGTTGATTTTAAAACCCTCTTTACTCTTTAACGCCGACGACTGCGTGCATAATAATCGTACTCGATCGCCTCGAGCCGTTTTACCGTTTTGCGCAGTTAGTGATTTGTGGTTGGTTGGTCGAAGAAGAATTTGTCGAACGAGCCTTCAGTCGCTCCCGCGACGCTGCATAGCAATTGCGTTGCTCAGCCGTACAGTCTCGGCTCAGTATGGCTGGGAGAACTGTCCCCCGGCTTGCGAGTGCCCGGACTGATAAAAACCACTTCGGTCACCTTGGTAAGTCGAGTCCTGCGATAGCAAGCCATCCATCTGTGACTGAAATTCTCCAACCGCGAACGAGTCCTGTGAAAGTTCTGCCTGGCTCAATCCAGGTTGAGAAAGGCTGAAGCCCGGTTGAGACATGCCTTGAGTCGTACCCTGGGTTAACGGCAAACCAGGCTGACTATAAGGTTGGGTATTCTGCTCCGTCTGACTCAGTTTACCCATGCGCGGTCCCTGCTTATTCTTGGACAACGTGGTTCCTCGACGGTTCCGTTGATTCTGTCTGGCTTGTAGTGCTTGCTGGTGTTGATTGTAGAAGCGTGGTGGCACGTGTGCCATGTTCATAAACATGCCTACCGGAACCGGCACGTTGTTCATAGCAGCTTGTGCCCTCTCTGGGCTGATGTAACTGATGGTATCGTGAGTCCTACTGAATATGTCAAGCGGTACGTTCCTCTGATAGTACGGATTGTGATTCTGCGTTCCGTTCACCTGCGTGCCTGACCTGTCGTACACCGATCCTGGGATCAGAGCTTCTCTGGCGTCGTACATGGACGTGGACATGAAATGTGAGCCCGGATTGGCAGCGTTAACTAGTTTCTTTGGCTTGGCGAACTGGATCATGGACTCCTTCAGATTGTTCAATGGTCCCTCCACGAGAACCTTCTGTTCCTTGTAGAAACTCAATAGATGATTCCAGAGCGGTTGCTTGGATAACACTTTCGGGTTTCCTACGATTATTATTCCATACTTGGCCCGTGTCAAGGCAACGTTCAAACGTCTTGGATCGTTCAAGAACCCAATGCCTTGGTGTTCGTTCGATCTGACGCAAGACATGATTATTATGTCCTTTTCTCGACCTTGGAACGCATCCACGCTGGCAACCTCGATCTCTTGGTAGAGCTTTGAGTGCAACGATCCCTGATATTGCATGTATTGTACCAAATAAGCTCTCTGCCCCTCGTAAGGAGTTATAACACCGATCTGCTCGGGTTTCACGCCGCAACGCAGGAAACGCGTTGCTATTTTTTCAACGTTTGACGCTTCGGTTCGATTCAAGTAGGAAGTGCCACTACCAGCGATCTCTTCTTGTCCCTGGGTGACATAGAAGAACATAGGTTTGTCTGGCGCAGGCCAGGGAAAGTCGATCTTCAGCAACTTTCTTTCATCGGCGCATACACCGTTCTGTAGAGAACCCTCATAGAAGAAGTTCGATGGGAAACGCGACAGATCTGGGTGCATACGGTACTGCACCTCCAAACGGAAAGGTCTAATTCCAAGAACGACCAGTCTCTCGAACAGGGATTGCGACAGGCCCGCTCTGGCGGCCTTTTTGCACATTACTACTGGTCCTAATTGGCAATGGTCACCAACAAGGATCAATTGCTTAGCTCCGAGCACGACTGGCACCATGCACTCAGGCTCCGTTGCCTGCATACTCTCGTCAATTAGGATCGAATGGAATTTCAATCTATGCAGCCTTGGATCACCTGCTCCCACACAAGTACAACAAATTACATCGGCTGCTTCCAACAATTCTTTCTCAGCTGCTTTCTTCAGCAGCCTGTAACGTTTCTCATCGACACTGGATAGCTCTCCTGTTTCGTCCTTCAATTGTTGTAACTTCTGCAATTCGGTGTTCGTCTCCATGTTCTTTATCTGATTGTGCAAAGCAAGAAAGCTTACGGGCGAATCGATTGCTTCTCTCGATTTCGCGCAAAGTCGCACTACTTTTAAGTTCGACTTATGTATTTTCTCTGTCAGTTGGTCTACGGCTGTGTTGGAAGGAGCACACACTAAGACAGGTCCACCATTCTGCTTCACCAATTGGTAAACTATCGTTGCGCTAGTCACAGTTTTGCCAGTGCCAGGTGGTCCTTGAATTAAAGACAATGGTCTCTGGACTGCATGCTTTACGGCATATACCTGAGACCGATTCAAGTCAGGTAAATTAGGGGCGCTGAAGTGCTTAGGCAAATGACAACGAAACAGAACCTCCTCCACCTCGTGTCCCAATAATCTGTGATAGATGTAAGCGGATACGGAAGTATCATCCACGGCAAATTTCCGTAACGCTAATTGCATTCTACAAAGGAAAAATAATTATGCATTAGACGATCAATTTGAAAACTTTCTTCTTTCTTTGAATCTTTCAATATTACTCACCGGTCGAAGCTGGTACTCTTCCAAATGAAGTCGACAACAAAATTACTGATGCATTCCGTTGGTGCTCCAGAATTATTTTTCAATTCTATACCAACTTCCTCACCGTAATTGTCAGGAATTTTTATCACATGTCCAATACCTGACCATGGCTTGTGCAGTTCGCCCAAGTAGCGAAGTCTTAATTCATCTCCATGCATCAATTTCATGTCACCGTCAGTTTTGGCAAGCATGAAGTATGCTATGGTCTTTTTGTTCAAACCAACATCCCATCGAACTTCGATGTTCTCCTGCGTTTGAGATTCCTTCAAGCGTTTATCATAATCTGCTTCTAGCTTCACCAGGGGACCGAATATATTTTGATATTGGTAACCATCCTCGTAACGTAGGAGCACTTGTTGCGGTTCCTCATCCACACCGGGTTTCTCTAGATCTTGGAAAGTCGCGTCTACGTTATCGCGCCATAATTCTTCCAATTTGTTGATCTGCTGTGCAGAAATTTGTCGGGCACGAAGTTGTTCTTGTTCGGATGGAATCTTAACCAGCCATGCCAAAAAACTACGATCTTCGATCAAAGGCTTCCACTGTTCCTGATCCCTAAAAAAATACAATGAACATTCAGTATCTCAACAACTTCGTTATACCCGTCTTTAAATTTTCTTTTTAATATCGACAATTACCAATTCATATCTTTCAAGGAACTTTGAGCCGCACATGGTTGCCTACACAGAAGGACGACAACAGAGTCTGCCTTTGCCGGGATAAACCCAAGAACAAAAACATTTCTAACAGCGCAAGAGTAGCATTCCAGAACTGTTTCTCCCAGGGGGCCATCCCTAAAAGTAAGAGAAATATGTAGTTCAAAAGTAAAAATGATGATATAACAAAATTCATTAGGTAAGAAGCAATACCTGTGCAGAGTAACTTCCTTATGCTTTGCTCTGACAAGATGATTGATGATATGAGATCCGGATGTATTACCACGTCCATTACAAAACCATTTGCGGCAGACATTGCACATAACAACGCAAGATGCTTCATGAATTCCACAGTATTTACAAGCATGGTCTGGTAAATCACGATTATAATATGCTTCCTCCTCCTCCTCTTCGAACTGTAATTCAGCAAGGCTTTGCGCAGCTCCAGAAATCTTCAAGTCCAAGGAAGATCCGCCGCTCGTTCCATTAACCTAATGAAAATTATAAATTAGTTCCAAATATCAGTCTCCCTTCTTCGTAATTAATGTATATGTGGTAAAGGTACACGTTATTCTAATTTCTCACAGTACGTTAACAGAAGTCTATGCGTTTCACTTGCTTCGTATCTAGTAAAATTTTTATATTATGATACAATTTTATATACAATTATTATCATTATCATATCCGACAATATTTAAACGGTTGCAACGTATGCAATTCATTTTGCATAACAATGTGAAACAATGTTCTTCATCAGGGTGTCACATAACCTCTCAGGCTCGAGAAAGTTATTCTTGAAAAATCCGACTCAAAATGGAACCACGTTCCCGAGGTATTGTAGCGTGATTAGCTGGCGTTACCCTGAGCCTACGACACCGGATTTCATTGAAAAGATTCGAAAAGAACAGTTCGCGAAACGAACGCGAAACGTGAACGTGTGCTCACTGGCTCGATCGGAGTACGTAAAAATTTAAGGAGTCACAGAAATGAACAATACTATGCTATCGCGTTTGCATTACCACGAGGAAATAACATAATCTCGACGCGAAATAGATCATTCGAACAGGTTAGAGGTTGAACTTGAAAAACATATGACGAACCAGAAAACCAACCTGTACAGGCTGGCTGGATTGACTTTGAACAACATCGTGCTGTGAAGCTTGCGTCTGACTCGGCGATGGTAGGGTAAAATCGGTGAAATCAAATTCGCTGCCCTGCGTGTCCGCTCCGATTAGATCCGCTTCCTCCGGATCGAGGAACGTGAGGGTTTGACTGCTTGGTCCGTACGCGTCGACGCTCATGCTGCTCCGATACTCGACGTCCTTTCCGTGTCCCTGCGATAAATGGACTGTCTCTCGCACGGTTGGCGAACACCAAAGAACACTGTCTCGCGCGCGACAACGCTGCGCTGCTGAGGAACACTCTCAGAAATGACTCGCGAATACAATCGGGACACAACCGTGGTTAGGTTCCAACTCGACTCAACGACTGAACACTTTCGACTAAACTGGCCCAGAGAATATCCTACGCCATACTTCGTCTCGCGCACGTCTCGTGCGCACCAGTCGCGCGCACCTCTCACCGACACGACTCGCGCGCACCACACCGAAACGGATCGCACGCACACTAACTTTTCTCCTTTGCGCTTCGCTCGTCGCGTGTTACGTCATCAGCTGATCTTGAACAAGAGTTTTTCGAGGACTCGGAGAGAAGACGTACGGAAATTTGAAGATTGCGTTGCTTCGAAGACTTGCAGACCCCTAATTTTCTCGCGAATCGATCGTTCCCGTCGATTTTCCTTGAAATCTTGATCGGTCAGACTTCTTCGATAAGATGCAGATTGCGCCGCGTTCTCAGAGATGGCGGCATCGGTTATTTGCGACTTATAGCGGCTTCCGCGAGAGGGCAAATAAACGAATAAGAGTAACAGTTCTCATTAGTACTCGATTTTTCTTAAACAAAAAATTATTGCTTGTTAGATATATGGCTGATCATAAAGTATCTCTAAGTAGTGCAATTAGTTAATTAATTTGAGCTCTCATTAATATTTATACTAGCTAAGTTTTATTGAATATACCGAATACATGTAACTGACTGAGGAAACTCTATGTACATTTTTATATCCAAACCATTGGGCTTAAATCAAGGCTAGAGACTTTTAATTTATAAATGCAATAGTACTAGTTTCGTCCACGATTATCATACCGACTGCCTTGGTAAGTCTGCTATAAAATAATATTTTCGAGGTATATATTCATCCGTGATTTCTTTTCAGTCGTATTTTCCAAGAATCGAAAATTGCCAATCAGTTTCCCTATTTTCAACAAAAGGGCGCTGTTCGTCATTCTTCGATCTTAGATTGTTCTAGTCTATGGTTTTAATTTAGTTGCGATCGCAAGTCGCAAGATTCGAAAAATCAGGGTCAAGTATGTATAGTGAAAACATTTTTAGATACGAATGTATTTCATTAAGTAATTAGGAAACCATATTGTTTTTTATATCAAGTAAGTCACTTTCATCGATTTGTTTATTGTCGAACTTGTCCGTTTACATACATACACGAACGCAAGCGCGGTCGTAATTCTATATCTACGATAAAAAGTAATAAATACAAAGTTTAATAATTATATCTATCTATATCTATATCTATATCTATGTATATATATACAAAGCACTTGTTTTCGTGGGTTTATCAATATACAAACGTCTGCAATTCGTTCGCGTTTTGATAAGTCGTGTATTTCTGTCAAATATCGTCGTATATCTCTGAAAAATGATACGGCCCTGATACACAAGTTATATCGTACACTTTGCTTCTGACGGTCGCGAAATCTTTCGCCTCGTACAACCGAGGTTGTACAAACTAGAAACTGTCCTACGATATTCTCTAATGACGATCGCGTTCCGTGAGTACGACTAATATCGGTATAGAAAAAGGTAATTGATCTATTCAACGAAATTATTGTGCGAGATCAGTCTTTTATGGCAATACACAGTTTACGAGTCTAGTCAGTCCGAATCCAATGTATCCAGTTATCAACTTTCGATCGAGTCGAGCAAACCAAATTTCAATTCGGATCACAGTATCGAAATTCGAAATTAGTCGTTTGTCGGCCATCTTGGAAGATACACCGCGAGTTTCGGTAAACGTTCGAACAATTAAACCTCGATTAAAAACATTACTTAAACAATCGCAAATCCTAATGAATTAATATAGAAAATTATTATTTATAGATGGATACAGAATTGGCAAGAATTAGCAAGAATTGGCAGTTCGGTGGTTCGCCTGACTCGTGTGGGAAACAATCGTAAAGTATTGCCGTTGTAATTCCCGTGTAATCGCAACGAATCTCAACGAGATAAATATTTACGGTGGACAATACTTTTAATTTCAGGACCGAAATACGATCGGCTTCGGGTAACAGTAAACGTTACCGTTTTAAAATGTCCAAAAGATCCTGTGTGAAAAACATCCTTAAACATACTCGCACGGTTGCCAATAATAGATGTCTCCAACGTTCCGACACATCCCAACGGTAAAGGATCTACCTTGTCCCTCTGATCACATTACATAAATGGCACACGTGGATGCTTCCTAGCGAGGCCCCGATCCGATGCGAACAAGAATCCAGACGATTTCTTCATCGTGTCAGAACATTTCATCCCCGCGACCGCTTGCGATCGCATATCCGGATCCGCGATCAATATGCCTCATCGGCTGCCAATTTCAGCAGTTGCCTTAGTCATCCGACAAGGTTGCATTTATAGTCAGTATTGCGGATTCGGTGAGTTCCTCTGGAAGTTCTGTTGGCTCTGCTGCAAGGGTGCAGCTGGGCTAGGTCTGCCTGGGTCGCGGTACTGCGGGGGGCCCGAAGGTCCGCTGGGTGGGCCTGGTGGACCCGGTGGGCCGGGTACTTTCCCGTAGTTTCCTCTGGTGGAGCCTTGGTAGCTACCATACGCGGAATCATCGCTGCGTCTAGAAATGTGACCGTACATGCTTTCAGGTCTCCTAGAATTAGCTGTATTTTCAGAGTTGACCGTCAACTGTTGTTGCTGCTGCTGTTGCTGCTGCTGCTGCTGCTGCTGCTGTTGTTGTTGTTGTTGCTGTTGTTGCTGTTGCTGCTGCTGTTGCTGCTGTTGTTGATGGTGGTTCTGTCCCGCGTTCTGGACACCCTGAGCCGATGAAGAGCTCTGATTCGCAGGAGGAGGGGCAGGAGCGCGTCCGTATATACTGGACCCGGTGGAGACGCCATAGATTCCGTTCTCCCGGGTACTCAGGCTGGTCGAGATTCCCCTAATGCCGTAGATGCTTTGAGTACATTGTTGCAGTTGATTCTGCATGTTCTGGTTGGTGCTGTTATGATTCTGGGTAGTCTGGGCCGGGCCGCTGGGCCCGCTCTGCGGTTGCTGACTCTCCCTCGAGTTCTGGGAGGCTGTCTGTCCTATCCTGATCGGGTAGAGGCTCTGAGCCGGGACCAGCGGACCCGGTTTCGGGATCATCAGACCGTCCTTGGTCCCGGTGGTCGACTTTGCGTACACGCTTTGAGAGCGGTTCAAATTGGCCCGAGTCAGCGGCGGCGACTTGCAGTACAAAGATTTTGTTCCGCCATAAATCGATTCGACCCGCTCCAAAGCTGTGGGTGGCGCGCTGTAGATGGAAGAAGACGCGGCTCCTGCCACGGGACGATAGGTGGCATACGCGCTAGGAAACTTGGGCCCCGTAGGCTTGTCTAGATCGTCATAGGTATCCTCATCGGACCTCATCGACGAGTTGTCCCCGTCGTCCACGTCCCGCGAGTCTCTGGACCGCTTCGGGTTCAACACGTACTCGTGCAGCAACGCCGCTACCGCGCTACCCGACAACGGACCCACCCAGTAGACCCAGTGGTTGTCCCATCGGTTGCTGACGAACGCTGGTCCCAATGCTCTGGCTGGATTCAGGAACGGACTCTGAAAGAGGAACAGGCTGAATGATAATCTTGTTTAGACTTGAACGCCTTTCAACGATATTAATTAACTCGGTGTTAGTGTAAAATGGATTTATTGTTAACAAAACGGAATAGACTCGCCAATAGAACAAACTTTCTTTGTTAACATTTCAGATGCAGTGAGATCTCAGCTACCGGGACAAAGAAAAATTCGAGCAACTACAGGTTGCATCATCGGTCTCGTGCGGATTAAAAGGGCAAGGATCATCGCTTGCTCCACAGGCTAATGATCAAGGAAGCGATCCGCGGTTCCTGGTTACACGATCGGTTATTCGATGTTGCGGGTTTTAGTCGATACTCCGCCGGGTCGGAAGTCGACATCGGATACTGCGAGGACACCCGAGCGTCGGGTGCAAACATTTTCGACGCTGTAGTTTCGCGTTTCTTTTTACGGTTGCATTGTACACACACTTTCCGGAGCAGGTGGCATCGAGATCGAGTTCTTTCGTCTTTTTTTCTCTGCTCCGTCTCTTTCTCTGCCCCCGAAACTCCCCCCAGCTCCCCTCGTCTCGCCTGTTCTTAGAGCGCAGGTGCTCTTTAAAGACGCGGACGTGGGTCCGATTCGAAAGAGATCGAGAGACGCCTCGGATAGACCGGTTACTCGTGGGGAAACGGGGGAAAGGTGGTCGCTATCACGGGATTCCGGCGGCGGCGGCGGCATGATGATTTTGGGTCTCGGGAAAGATAATCCCGAGTATCGTTAAGACGGAATAAAGGAGAGGTTGGGTAAAGGTGTGATTTACAGCACTAATCTAGTCGAACGAATTGCCTCCATTTATGGCCCACCGATTTCTTTTCAGCGGAATGCGTCCCGGGCGGTTTCACTCACCGAAACTAAAGTGGCCGCCGTATATGCTGCGGCCAACACGCCGGCTGGTTTCGAAGAGATGGACATCGGCAGCGTCTTAGCGGATTCCGAGGTGAAATGAGCGAGGACAATCAGCACAGACAACGCCAATTCCACTAGCAACCTTTCGATGGCTCCGCTCAGGCGGCCGGGGGACGTCAAGGTTTGTGTGTTCGATGGCGTGGTCACCCTGTAACAGAAACAAACCATGTGTACCCGTTGTTCCGTCCTTCAACGGAATTTTCATGCCTACGCGTCCGTCAAACTTTCTCCGGGACGAATTACCTTCTTCTTCAATCCCTAAAAAACAGTTTATTTACGGGGAATCTTCGGCTCTGCGAGACAAATTACAGTCATTCAACGAACGTGCAACGACGTGCAATCGACAAAAGGTCATGCTCGTTAGGCTTTCAATTTCGTAGAGCCGTAGCCTTCTTCATTAGTAGTTTCTAAGTTCATGATGTTTTCGAGCCGTCTGCTTTCCGGCAATAAAGTCATTTCTGCACTTTCCATTAATGCATGCTCGTTAGGCTTTCAATTTCGTAGGACCATCTCTTTTTCATTGTAGTGTTTAAGTTTGTGATTTAATCGAGCCGTCTGCTTTCCGGCAAAAAAGTCATTACTGCACTTTCCATTAATGCACGCTCGTTAGGCTTTCAATTTCGTAGGGCCATCTCTTTTTCATTGTAGTGTTTAAGTTCATGATTTAATCGAGTCGTCTGCTTTCCGGCAAAAAAGTCATTACTGCACTTTCCATTAATGCACGCTCGTTAGGCTTTCAATTTCGTAGGGCCATCTCTTTTTCATTGTAGTTTCTAAGTTCATGATGTTTTCGAGCCGTCTGCTTTCCGGCAATGAAATCATTACTGCACTTTCTATTAATGCACGCTCGTTAGGCTTTCAATTTCGTAGGGCCATAGCCTTTTTCATTGTAGTGTCTAAGTTTATGATTTAATCGAGCCGTCTGCTTTCCGGCAATGAAGTCATTACTGCACTTTCTATTAATGCACGCTCGTTAGGCTTCCGATTTCGTAGGGCCATAGCCTTTTTCATTGTAGTTTCTAAGTTAATGATCTTTTCGAGCCGTCTGCTTTTCCGGTCAATAAAGTAATTACTGCACTTTCGATTAATGCACGCCTCATCAGCAGCATTTTTTATGACAGGGTCGCCAGCACGCACCGCTTCGGTCGCCCGTCCGGGGTTCCTTGCTACCTGCGGCACTGCGCGCTACGTCATTTTTACACCCCGTTCCATCGCGTTACTGACCAATCAGTTTCTAGTCTTCTGCCCACGAAACTGTATAAAAACTCGAAACTGATTCTTCTTTTAATCCATTCGGTCTATAGGGTCTCATTCGTGTCATCCATTCAATCTCGTCGGTCAGTCAGTGTCAATGAAACTCAGTCATTCTCGCTCGGTCTCGGAATTACAATTTAAATAATCAAATTGTAACAAAATTTTACGAATGACGGATATAATCGTCATGACACACAAAATTCTGCCACATCTCCATGACGGATATAATCGTCACACAAACACTTAACTGGTTAATTGGACGAACAGTGATACTAATCAATTCCGTAATCGATTGCGGCACAGATTGTGATACTAATTGTGATACTAATTGTGATACAGATTGTGATACTAATCAATTGCGTAATCGGCCTTACAACCCGAGAGATTTTGTAATCGCGGAATTTTAGNGGTTCCTTGCTACCTGCGGCACTGCGCGCTACGTCATTTTTACACCCCGTTCCATCGCGTTACTGACCAATCAGTTTCTAGTCTTCTGCCCACGAAACTGTATAAAAACTCGAAACTGATTCTTCTTTTAATCCATTCGGTCTATAGGGTCTCATTCGTGTCATCCATTCAATCTCGTCGGTCAGTCAGTGTCAATGAAACTCAGTCATTCTCGCTCGGTCTCGGAATTACAATTTAAATAATCAAATTGTAACAAAATTTTACGAATGACGGATATAATCGTCATGACACACAAAATTCTGCCACATCTCCATGACGGATATAATCGTCACACAAACACTTAACTGGTTAATTGGACGAACAGTGATACTAATCAATTCCGTAATCGATTGCGGCACAGATTGTGATACTAATTGTGATACTAATTGTGATACAGATTGTGATACTAATCAATTGCGTAATCGGCCTTACAACCCGAGAGATTTTGTAATCGCGGAATTTTAGTATCGGGTGTACTCGTTGTGCACCCAACACCTGTCGTTCTCGATTTCAGATTCAGGATCGTCTAAAAGTGGGTGGTAACTCGCAAATAGGATTATCGATTGGACCCTGGTTATGATTGACCGACGCATATGGCATCGTCTGCGACAACGGGGTACAATGCACAGATGATTTTCCCATTGAAAACGATACCAACTCTGAAACCCCGTGGCGACCCGGTCCCCGTAGAGTAATGTTTATATTAGCCGGTGCATCCACGAACCCCTCTGTTTCTTTTGCATAAAACCCCGTTAATTTTCTCGCCTCGTACAATCTTATGGGGTCACAGGCACGTGACCCGTCGCGCCACCACTTGTGCCGGCAGCGGCGAGTTCACACAGCCAGGTTGCGTATCAAATTTGTTCGTCGTTGAACGAATAATTTTCCAGGAAAGTATTATTAAAGAATTTTTCAGTATGCGTCGCAAATATTTCATGCGCAATTTTAATCACCGTAGCGACACTCTTTCAGCTCCTCCACGGTCCAGAGCTCCCCGAAACTACCAAAGGACCCTCACACCTGTGCGGAAACATCTCTGTCGAACGTCGGATTACGGGCTGATCTCCGTTCTAAACGGGCAAAGATCGCGCTCGATGAAAAGTTCTTTCCCCACGGATCGATGCAAATGAGATACTCTGTGGCCCCCTCTGCTCCCGTTACTGACGCAATCGCGTCACGAGAGAGCGAATTGATGGAATCAGAAATGCAGATCACGATTACACAATGGGATTAACTGCGTCGTCTGCAGACAACGAGGGTGAACGCCGGAAGAAAGGAAAGCTCCTTTTATACGAGCCAGTGCCGTGATAAGCAACATTTTATTCACTTTCACCCTCGTTCGTCGTTGCGCACGCGTAACAAAGGAGGAGGCACGAACAATCCGGCTTCACGATTTCCATGCAGAAACATCCTAAAAGAAGCGCCTTCGGAAATATGTTTGAATAAACCTGCGAATGGTTCTAAGCAACGCGAGTCGGCGCAGTTAACAGAAGCTCCGCGCGATCCAAGTGTTGAAATCTCGTCGAGAGACGGCTAGGCAGTCTCCGCTACAGGAAAAGGGGATGCTTTTTTGCCGTCCGGGAGGCGAGCTAGACTTCATTTTTCTGCGAACAAACGCGGAAGAACGAGCGACGAGAAGCACAATGGGCTGCCGCGCGCGGATCAACCCCTCGATCTCGCGCCGTTCCCACCCCCTCCCGCGCCGAAAGCGCGGAGAACACTGGACCATTTCCGTCGAAGAGTTCCCCGAAGAGGCCCCCGAAGAGTTCCCCGAAGAGTGGACCGTGTCGAATCGCTCGAGCCGCGATATTAAATTTAATGGCGGTCGAATTTAGGGCACCGGCGACAAGTGTTCGCGGGGTCCAGACACGGTCAAGCTTTCGCAGATTAGCGACCCCCTCGTCGGACTTCTCACGATCGCTCGACGGTCGGCAGTTTCGCTAGCTCAAGGGGACGTCACCGTATTGGCGAAACTTGTACTTCTTCGCCTTGAATGACTTGTAAACGAGTCCATGGTTAACCGTGTATTAGCATGTCCATCGAATCGAGTCCAAGCCATTTAGCTATCCAACGGTCCAGGACTCCCTCGACCGCGCATCTGATCTTTCCCAGAGGGCAAGACTTTATAATGGAATCGCTCGAGGATCTCCGATCGCCGTGTAATCGCATGTGGCGGTTTTCCTCGCCGGGAACGGGGATAGGGTGGACTCACCCTAGACAGGGGTATATGGACCACCGATATCAATAGCTCATTAAACACGACAGAGGCGCGCACTGCGACCGACACAACCGCTCCCCGAATTGAAATTTATTTAAAAGCATCGTGTAATCCCCCCGGGGGCTGTTTACCGGGGATCCCCCTTCGCCGCGATGCGAATATGGGGCACAGGTTGCACGCGGTTCTCGCTCTCGAGTCAAGTGCACAAGGGATTAAACGGTCTTCCGATCGAGTGATCGCGTGGATCTCGATCGCTGGCCGTGTTCCTCTCGGCAAACGTGAGAAAACGCCGGCGAAACAAGCGCCGGGAGTATCGGGTGCTCCTGCGAAACTGCATCTCCGATCGCTCTGGTCCAGGATTCGTGTAACAGGTTCCCAGGACGCATGATGCATCCTCCAATGCGCACCCTCTCTGCCGTTTGCAAACATTTGGAAAAGCGTATACTCGCAGTAGACAAAGATCATCCCTCGATTTAACTTTAGTTTCTCCGAATCTGCCTACGAGGACTTTCAAGTAGTAATCGTTATTGCATGCAAAGTCTTGTTGAAACTCTAGGAACCTCATATTTCAATGTATTTTATTCAGGATCCCGGTGCGAGACTTCGGGGATTTTTCACGAGTACCTTGCGCATTTCCTGCACGAGACCCGTCACCCATGGAAGAAATACGAAGCGACAAAGCAGGGGAACTCTCTTTGAAAGCAGGTCGGATCAGGATTCTATTCTCTTTTCTGAACGGGAGGAAACGGCCGAAGAAAGGCAGCAGGAAGCTCGTACACCCACGAGCATTCTTCGGCTCTGTCTTTTCGAGGAGAATCCGATAATAAGCACTACGCGCACACCTTGCAACCTTAAGTCTGCCGACGCGATTTTTATTTTGTTCAACGGTCATTGTAACTATGCCAGCGACCCGATAACGCTGATCTAAAGGATTCTGTCGAGCTGCTTTGAGAATATTTTGCAAACATCAAAGTTTTTATTTTTAAATGATTCTTTCTCGTTTAAAGAGACGTAGAGCGTCGCGAAGGAGAGAAGTACCGGGGCAGCTCGATGAATGGTAGGAACGCGTTCGGGTATGCCGGCCCGTAAATTTCCGTTCTCCCTTTTTTTCCCGATGCACCGGTGTCTGGATGATCTACCGTTCGTAACGGATCGACGTGTCTACGAAGGTGGAAAACATCTGCCGGGCCGCTGCGCGATCGATCCTTGCCGAAAGAGAATCATTTATG